CAAGCGGACCCAGTAACATCTCCATTTTTTGAGACTTGTTGTTACTGTGTTTGGCATATCAAATATGTCATGGGTAGCTTGCCAGGCTTTGCTGTGCGGTTGAGATACTCTCAGTAGCTTGACAGGCTCTCTGAGAGGGGCGGAGGAATCGAACTCGGGTTGGCCACGTTGGCTGTGTGCAAGGCAAATGCCCTACCACTGTGCTATCGCTCCAGCTCGAACCATCAATACTTTAAGAAAATTAAGTAACTTCTATGGTGCAAAATAAGAAATAGGTTTCCAGTTTTCTGCTTATATATTGGTAAGCTTTTTTCTGTGAACCTCTTGTTAGAGTTTAACCACAGTGCTCAGAGCCAAGAATACTCGTCAGCATGTACAGTGCCTACAAGTGGCTCTTGTCGGGAAGACATTTATGTTCAAAATAAAAATGCAGGGCTAGAGTGATAGTACAATGGGCAGTCCCCCTCCTCCCGCATATGACCAATCCAGGTAGGATCCCCGGTATCCTATATGGTTCCCTGAGCACCGTCAGGAGTGATCCTTGAGCAGAGCCAGGAGTAGCCCCTGAGCATCACTGGGTGTGGCCCCCAAATAAAGAATAAATACGCAGACAGGAGACAGTGTGTTCACCGATGACTGGCCCCAGAGCATCTATGGCCAGAGGCTTCACATGCTGGTGGTCCCTTGGTCACTTGGAGCAAGGGGTAGGGGCTGAAGACAGAGGTAAAGGTCCCAGAAATGGTTTTGGGGTTTGGATGCCATCGTGAAGAAGTGGCAGGCAGAAGAACTGAATAAAAGGGATAAAAGTCCAGGTAGCTCCACGGGGCCCAGAGAGTCATATGTGGTGCCAGGGGTAGGAGCTGGGTCTGCCTCATGCAAGGCAAGTGCCTTCCCCACTTCACTGTCTCACCAACCTCCCAACCACAATTTTTAAGCACAAAAAAGTCACCTCCGCCTAACTATTATTGCTGAACATATGGCAAAAGCAACAGGTAAAGTTTTTGGGAAGACAGGTCCACAAAAGGGACACTGGGAAACAAGTGAGTGCACCCTGTGTAATTTAAGGCAGCCCACACGCAGTGATTCTCAGGGCCAGGCGTGTGCAGGGTTGGAGCCTTAGCAGCTGCACTATCTCCCTGGGCCCCCTACCAACACCTGCGAAAGGCCCCTTCTAGTGTTAGTGCCCAAGAGTTGAAAGACTGTTGGGGCCGGAGCGATAGTATGGTGTTCTGGGTGTTTGCCTTGCATGAGGCACACCTGGGTTCAATCCCTGGCATTCCATGTGGTCCCCGAGCACTGCCAGGTGTAATTGCTGAGTGCAGAGCCAGGAATAAACCCTGAGCATGGGCACTCCCAGGTGTGACCCAACAAGGCAGGAAAAAAAAAAAAACACCAAAAAAACAAAACCGAACAAAACACACACAGTTGAAAGACTGAGCTTCTGGTACCCTCTAGTGGTCAGCATAGGTAAAAACAGCTTGGCTTTCCACTGAGCGGACAGCTTACATCACCTTCCCCTACAGAAGAATTGAAAGCAGAAAGTGAACATTCAGTGTTCTTCCACGCCTCTGAGCCAGCAGCCTGGAAGTGTGGAGATGCTTTTAATTCTGTGAAGGAGGAGACAGAGGCGGGGGGGGGGGGGGGGAGGGGAGCGGGGTCAGGGTCGGGGAAGCTCACTAACCCCGCGTGCTAGCTCATTGTGAAGCTTAGTGAGAAGGGAAGGATTGGGGCATTTTACAATTCTGTCTTCTTTTTTTTTTTTAAATGACACAGATCTGCCCGGAAACCCGGCTCATGTCTCATGGCCAGTATTTCTTTCCTCTCCCTTCCAGAGTTGTGTGGGGCTTAGTCAAACACACCTTCCTTCTGCCAGAAGCACGGTGGGCCTGCAAAGCCCCCAAAGAACCACACAATACTCAGACATGCCTTTCATTTTTATTCTTCCAAAGCAGGGCACAAATGAGGGCATGGTCGAAGGTCAGCGCAGTGGGCAACCAGCTGATACCTACCCCTCCCGGTCATCGGGACCCAAGGGGCGAGTATTCCCATGAAGTGAGTTTTGTCACCTGAAGTGGCTCTCAGGTGGGGGAGGAGGAAGAAGCCAGAAATCAACATTCACACCCGCCGCCGAGTCACACATCATATACATCTGCATCAGAACACCGTCATCCAAGTACAAAAATAGTGCGAGAAACTATATTTGTCCAAATATATCGAAAAGGCTTTAAGAATACAAATAGGTATTAACAGTGGCTAGTGATTCATGATAGAAATTCGTCTTCTTTTCACTATTTACATTGCTTCTGACAACATTCACTGGGACACACGACACAGGCTTTGGGGAAAAAAATGTCTATGAAAGGGGTCCCCGCTGTGCAGTGTGTGGCAGCCAGCATGAACTCTGGGTGGGGGTGGGGAGTTGTGGTGGTGGGAGGGCGCCCTAAGGTGTTCTTTGAAACTAGTCAGAGGGCAAGTGAGTCACACTGACAAGGATACATCTCACTGCAGGCAAAGGAGGTCCCTGAAAAAAATGAAAAAACAAATGCGACAGATGAAAACAAAAGTGGTATCATTTCTTCTGCGTTTCCTGGTGGAATGGGCAACACCACAGCCTCCTGCTGCCTGTCTCCAGGCAGCGAGCGACCAGGTGTGGTGTTTGTGCTGAAAATAAAGGCACTTCACTGCCGGGCGGGCATGTGTGCAGCTGTAACTGTGTCTCTCCCTGTGTCCCATCCCCTAGCCCAGGGACCCTCGGGTTGGGGGATGGTGGGGGGCTGCTCTCTGAGATCCCTGCTCGCTGGGGATGTGCATGAGAAGCTGCAGAACTAGGTACGGCATTTGCTTCTTCAGGGCCGGATACGCCAAAGGAGAAATGACAGCAGCCCTGGGGGCTGTACCCCACAGTCTTCTTGTGGACCAGCTTGTTCAGGCGTGGGCAAAGAGGATGGTGATGGACAGAGACCAAGTGTCTGGGAGAGGTAAGGCCGATGGTTTTTTTTTTTTCTTTTTGGGTCACACCCGGTAATGCACAGGAATTACTCCTAGTGGTGCTCGGGGGACCATATGGGATGCTGGGAATCGAACCCAGGTTGGCTGCGTGCAAGGCAAATGCCCTACCTGCTGTGCTATTGCTCCAGCCCAGGCCAACAGTTTTATACACACCTCCAAACCAAGTGGAAGAAAACAGGTGGGGCTTTGCCGATGGGCAGTGGGGAGGGTGTGGCACTCACCATACTGGGAACAAGGGCAAGTCCTCGCTACTTCTGGGTAATATAAATATAAGGGCAGGTGAAGGAGGGCTCTATAAATATATATATATATATTCTTCCAACTCAGAGAGATTAGAAAGTAAAGTTCATATAAAAGCAGAGCTTTGACTTATGCCCTTGAACCAGATATGGAATGAATGACTCTCCTCAGAATTAACTGAGACACCCTTCTAAAAAAGCCCGCTCTTCTATATCCAAAAATAAAACAGGGATAGCCTTTTCATTTCTAAAACTCTCTTGTTAAAATGACACACAAATATTCCACACAGTTTTAAAAATCTGTGACATATATTAAGGGCGTCTAGAGAAAACTACTCAAGTATATAATGTGGATTTTAGCATGATGCTAAATCACGAAGTGTAGAAAAGGTAGGTTACTTAAAATTGCTATTCCTTGAACGCTGTTCTCTACTAAGGAATCACATCTGCATGCATAGGTAGGTCCGTATTTGTGAGCCTATAATTTATACACCAGTGCCAGCCAGAGGCAACTTAAGAGATCCCAAAATAAAAACAGAAGGATGAGACTAGCCTTTACTGCCAGGACAGAGTTAGGCGAGAAGGCCACCCTGTGTCACGATACACAGGTGCACTTAGAGGTTAAGGAAACAAAAAATCATGAACATGTTCCACTTCAGACAGTTTAAGGGGTAAGAAACTCACCTCATTTCCACCCACGTAAGTGAGAAAGCCCAAACTGTTTGGGGTGGGGTAAGGAAGAACCAGGAGTGCCCCATCCCTGACCGGTCAGCTGTGTTTGTCAATGCTCCACTCACCAGTGCTCAAGAGAAGCGCCTGTACTCCCTGAGACTGGGTAGCTGGTCCCGCAAACCTCACCAGGGCAGCAGTTTCTTGCCCCCAAACTCACTGCAAGTGCCTCAGGTGGACCCCAAGAGGTCCCACGTCCGTTCTCTGGGCTGAAGCCTGGGCCAGGGGTCTCCTGCCTGCACCCACAGATCACCCATAACTACTGAAATAAATACAAATAATCCTTCTGCTCCATTGGACGAAGAATTCAAAAGCAAATCCTTCTCCCCTCCTGGTCTACAGTGCTCCCAGTATGTCTGCTTCCAAGGAGAGATAGATAAGGACATCGCTTTGGGAAGGAAACTCCGTCCTGTGACACTAACAACTCTCAGATTTGGGGGGCTGCCCTATTTGGGGTCATGCCCCGTGTCTGGTCCACAAGCCCCTCTCCCCCTTGGGTGAGTCAGTGCCTTTGCCGGAAGCCTTTGGGTTCCACGCACTGCATTGAAACAAGGACGCTTTCTGACAATGTTGTGCAGAAATGAAACCTTTTCTCTCTGATCCCATCCTGCTCCATTTGTCTCAGATCATACATGGAGGACAGACCGGCCAGCTAAAATCCACTCATTTTCATCTTTGCTTTGAAGGACTTAACTGTCACAGAATAGGTTTGTATCTCTGCCCCCAACCCCCTTTATTTTTGGAGAAAGCCAAGAGGTTCCAAACATCCTTGAAAGATTGGTCACTTAGGAAAACACAGACATAGAGGACGGTCACCTCAGTTCAGAAACACATGTGAGCCCATGACCCTGGGGGCTCTCATCCAGGTGGAAGCTGATCCCAGTGGCATGAAAAAGACACACACGAAATTCCAGGAAGTGCACGAAGTGGACAGCACAGCTGTGGCCACGCCACTCCCACCCAGCACGGCAGAACGAGCCACCAGCTACGGCAGGGGCGCACCCAGCTGCCATGTGCCCATGGCAGGTCACGCTCACTCAGTTCCGCTTGGCCTGGCCGCTCTCCCCGTTGATCAGCGTTGTCTCCTGCCGCTCGGCCAGCGCCTGCCACTGCTGCCGGTTCTTCCTGCAGCCGTCCAGCAAGGGAGAGCAATCCTCGGACACCCGGGCCAAGGCCTGGTGGGGGGGGGGGGGGCAGAGTACTCACTCATGGGGGCCCGGACAGGCCACACGTATGGCATGTGCTCAAGCTAGGGGAAACTCAGTGCCAAGCTGCTTCGCAGGGAAGTGGGTTCTTGTTGCGTTCCCCCCCACCCCCACTCTGATTCGATATCCAGGACCACAAAAAATAGTCAATGCAGATTTTAAGAATCATTAAAGGGGCTGGAGCGATAGTACTGTGGGTAGGGCATTTGCCTTGCATGCGGCCGACCCAGGTTCGATTCCCAGCATCCCATTCGGTCCCTCAAGCACCACCAGGAGTAATTCCTGAGTGCAGAGCCAGGAGTAACTCCTGTGCATCGCTGGGTATGACCCAAAAAGAAAAAAAAATTGTTAAAAAACATGGCAAATATCCACAAGGAACTGAGCACAGTGTTATTATTTTGTAATGACTTGAACATGTCATAGAAATATTTTAGAGAGCATGAGTGATATGTGCATTATAATGACAGACTGCAAAAAGCACTTAAATGCAACTGTCCTAAAGCATCATGCATTAGTGGTTATCCTGGCAGAATTATGAATGACCTATTGATATCACATGGGATTTAATGGCAGAGTCCCAGGAAACAAATCCTTGCATTATGGTGCAGAAGAATAAATGCTATCTTGAGAGACCTGATTGTTCTTTCGACCTGATTATGGGGAAAAACCTAGGAGCAGCCTTAGTTTAACTGAGGAACGCTTCATGCCAAGGGATGTATCTGTTCTTCCAGAGGCGCTACCTGTGCCACCTGCAAAGGACAAAGGCAGAGAATCCTGGGACCGTGTTCTCCCTTCCCCTTGCTCTCCCGTCTGTCTCTCCATCAGCTCCTCTGCTCCGTGGCGAGGACCCTGGTGTCCAGACACCCTTCTCCTCCTCATTTACTTCCTGTGCAACCTGGAACAAATTCTTTCTCCCTGCAGGGACTGACAGTCCCTGGAGGAAACGTCTGGACTGGGAGTGGCGGGTGGGGGGGGAGGGCTTCATCTACCCTCCCTGGGGGAGGACTGCTCTGGGAGCACTGTACGCTCCCTATAAAGAGACTCCTGCGGAAGCTGTCGGAGACCAGGAGAGATGTTGCATTCCCTCTGTGGGCACCCAGAGCCAAACTAGGAAACGGACCCGTTTGGGGAAGGACGTTGGAACGGACACAGGAACCTGCTCAATTCTGCTGTCGCCTCCCTTAACCCGCCTTAAAAACAAAAAAACAAAAAGTAAAGAATCTTTCTAATGTCAAAGCCATACTCTCCCAATGGGAAAATGCTGGATTATTCATTTTTCTTTTGCAGACTTACAAGGGAGCTGCCAGACGAGCCCACGCAATATTTAATTCCTCAGAAAAGGGGAGCTGACTGGGACCCCTCAGTGCTTTCTGTCTGAGATCAGGAGGTACAAGGCTTTTTTTTTTGGTCAGGGAGGACTCCCCTAGTCATGCTCAGGGCATGTGCAAGGCAAGTGCCTACCTGCTAAAGTCATGGTGGAAATGTATGATCTGGCTCCTTGGTTTTGGAACTGATTTATAGTATATTCTCTAGAGAGATGATTCTGCCTGGGGATGGAGAGTTTTCCAAGATGATCATCCTGTTAGAATCCAGGATGAACTTCCTTGTTCTGAGCTAAGAAAATACTGCTTTTGGGTATAAGAACAGATTCCTGCACCCCAAGCTTTGTCCAAGGTTTCAGGTGCCTGCCTAGCTGGACCCACCGGACTGACCAGCCCATGTGATCAAGACCCTCTCATTCTTCTGCACTCGAGGATCTTGGGTGTTCCGTATATCATGCTATCACTCTGGCCCCAAGTGGTACAAGGTTTTGGAAAAAAAAACCCAGAACAAAATATGGTAACTAGAAATGGTTTTCCCAGCTCCACGTGGGAAAGCCTGCTTGTTGGCCCAAGACCCGTAGCACAGTTTCAGGGCCTCGAGCCTGGGAGTTCACATGCCCGTACCTCATACAGCTGCAAGCAGATGGCGTCTATGAAGCCGACTTGCATGCTGGGGATTTTATTCTTCTTCTCCCTGTTCATCAGGTCCTGGAAATGCAGAGACGGTAACACACAAAGGCCTGCTGAGAGAACTCGGGAGCAGCGGGCCGAATGATATGCCTCAGGGCCAGCTGAGGCCTCCCTGGTCCCCTGATCCACCAGCACAGATGGGCATGGGCGCAGCCTTGCCAGCCGTCTCCTGGCATGACTCAGACCATCAGGGGCATGGAAAAGGGCTCCTCCCCAGGAGGCTGTGCAGAAGCTGGATGGGGCGTTACATGAATACGCCCCGAAACACCAGGGAGATGCAGGATGTCTGGCTGAGGACATGACAGTCCACCCCTGCCCCACTGCCCTTGAGACTCAGACGTCCCTCCCAGTGCTGCTTCGAGCAGCAACCAATGCCAGCTGGGCATGGACGGTGCCCAGTCCTGTTCTCTCATGTCATCACTGTAAATTCTATCTAGAAGAGCAACTGGGAGACCGATAAATGGCCTGAGGTATTTAACAGGAAAAAGGAAATGATAAAGTTAGTTGTCTTTGCTCTTTTAGTTGGGGGGTGGGGGGGGGGAGGCACATGCAGTGGTAATTAACACATGTGCTTCTATTAAGTTTTTAAAAATGAGAAACTTATCAAGACAAGTTCTCACAGAAGCATACAAAGAAAGCTGCAAGGGTCTCCCAGCAGCGGGCCCCACACTTACAGCGGGCTCGATGTTGAGTTCCTTCCTCTCCTTGTCTCCTTGGTCGAAAAACTCAGTGGCAACGAGTTCGGCTATCTGGAATAAAGGACACGCGAGCTCAGGCACAGAGAAGTGCACCATGCTCAGCTCGGCAACGCTGGGTGATGCGCAGCTATGAAACCCGTAGCTTTCTACCACGTCCGGAAAGTTAGCACGAGGTAGTCAGAGTCAAAGGAAGTACATCTCATCTGCTTTCAGTGCGTGCTACTCACGGAGCCCAGAGACGGTGCTCTCTGAGCAGGAAACCACAGGACACCAATGCTATTTCCCAGGGTCAGCAGGGAAAGAAGTCCTGGGCGCCCATCAGTATGGAGAGCCGATGAACTCACAACTGGCCTCCCAGGCAAACCGGAAAATGGTGTCTGTTAAGTCATACCCAGTGACCGCTGACTTGCTTCCCTTTCATCTACCTGAGCCTTTTTCCATGTAACCTGGCCCTTATGAGCCATCCGGGTGGTGCTGGCATGCATTGCTCCTTTTGCCTGCACCTGTACATGGTGAGGACTTTGCTGAGTTCCTGTGATGTCATTAAATGTGTTGCTGAATTTTGTTTTAGGAGGTATAGCACAGCGGGTAGTGCATTTACCTTGCACGTGGCCGACACTACCGACCCAAGTTCGATTTCTCTGCACCTCTTGGAGAGCCTGGTAAGCTACCGAGAGTATCTCACCCACACAGCAAAGCCTGGGAAACTACCCGTGACATATTCAATATGCCAAACACAGTAACAAGTCTCACAATGTTACTGGGCCTGCTCATGCAAATCGATGAACAATGGGAGGACAGTGACAGTGACCCACATAGTGAATATTCATTGACGTGTCACCACTAAACTCAAGGGCTGAACAGAATGTTATGAACCTTTTTTTTTTTTTTTGTTTATAAACTAGGCCGTGCTCCAAAATGGTTGAGTTCCCTTCCTAATGTCACCTGGAATGAAATAGTTCCTTATCAGTGTGGGTGTGCGAACCAGATGAGCTCTGTATCACCTTCAAGGTTAATAACTATAAAAATCTTGTACGGGAGAGAAAGCACAGCCGATAGGGCCTTGCCCTGCATGCGGCTTGTAGTTGGGTAATCGGCCCTGCATATGGCCTCCTGGGCACTGCTGGCTGTGGGCTACTCCACAGAAAAATCTAAAAAACAATGTACATAGTTTCTAAGTTAAATCTTAAGCACCTTTAACCCTTTAGCTTCAAATTCCACCATGCTACTCCTTTTCCCCTGTTAGGAAATCACAAATTATATGTGATCTTATTTTCCCTAGTTCTTAAAAATTCTAATTATATATTTATACATTTCTATTTTATGCCATCTTAGAGAAATGAGAGTGAACAATATACATGATTTTCAACCTTTCCCCCCACACACTTGAGTATTATCTTGGTGATCATTCCACAGGTACTCCTCAACTTATGGGGGTACAGGTTAAGATTCTGAACTTGACCCTGGTGGGGGACCGAGGGTATCAGAAAGCAAGTTCCAGCCTTCTCCTGGCAGGCACAGTCTCTATCCAGCCCTGTAGCATGGCGGCTGCAGGACACAGGTGGCACCTGGCCTGCACCAGCAGTTCCTGAAGGAACAGGCTAAGGGTGGGCTTACCAGGCCCTCACGGCTCCTGTGTCTGCCCAGAGAGACCCCATCTACATCCATGCTACAACTTAAAACTCAAGATGCTGACCCCCAAACACTGGGGTCACCGGCAAGAGGACACCGTCGCCTAACCTGATGTCGTACTGCCTTACCCGCTGCTGGATGGGCCAGGGCTTCGTGATGGCCGAAAGGTCGCACGCCGTCATCAGCATGGCCCTGTGAGGGAACAATGGCCCCAGTCAGCCCTTGCCTTGTAGACAGACCCCGCCAGAGACGACCAGAGTGTGCCGAGTTCCAGGGGGGCCCGTGCAGGAGACAAAGCAAGTGACCGAGTGTCTCGGGACAGGCACATCACTGCCCAGACTAGCACTCTGAGGGATGGTCAGCCATGGGCACAAACTGGGCTGCCTCTCCCAGTGCCCAGTTGCTACTGCCGTCTCGGTGACAGGTGACCCAACACATTCATTCCTGCTCGCCTTCAGAGGGTAGCCACAGGCCCTCTAGGGTCAACAGGCCCCTCCTGGTGGCCTGGCCTGAGCAGTGACTCCCAGGGGACCAGCCTTAGACTGATTAAACAGCATCTCCTGGGGACAGAGGGGGTGTGTGTGTGCGACCCAGTCTTCCAGGGAAAACAGTGTCCCCCAAACACCATCTGGGCCAAGTACCTGTTCCTTCCTCCCCTAACCAGCCTGGCGGAAATGGCCATTTGTGCCGTCCAGATACACTCGTGGTAAAGCCCAGACCTTCTCTCCAATGCCAGCCTACAGGGTTACTCTGCCGAGCTGGTGCCACCACAGAATGTTTCTCTACTGTCCTATTTGGTGGGCGGGGCCTGGAGGTTGGGCCACACCTGGCATGCTCAGGGGGCAGGCGCTGAGCTTGGCCCAGGGTACAGGGGATCAAGTACCCAGCAGTGCTCAGGGGAGGACGAGTGTCTTCCCCCATGCACTCTCTCCTCTGTGCTGTCCTGGGTCTGACCATGCCAGCCCTCCTGCAGGCTGGGTTCTCCAGACACCCACCCTTCTAGTTGAAATGCGCGTCCACGGAGAATTCCAGAAACCACCTCCTGCCACAAGGGTCTGAGTTTGGTGAGAACCTGAGCAATGACGGGGTCCGGCTGGCAGCAAGCATGGCTGGGGGCCTCTGTGTCTCTCCCTCACAGCTGCCCTTGCCCTCTTTCTAATGCCCTGAGCCAAGGGAGTGACAGCAGTTTGGTGTGAGGGAGGGGGTGGGAGGAGCAGAAATGCATCTGGACAGGCTCTGGGTCACCGCTTAGGCGCCTCTGGGTGACACTAGCCCTTCACGGCCACCTGCCTGCTCTGGTCCTTACGAGGCAACTTAGTTTCCGTCTCTCTTTCTATGGGCCATGCTGGACAGTGCCTTGGACGGTGAGGGCCAGGCAGCACCTGGGCAGTCCATGTGCACAGGCTGTGCTCTACTTCCTCCCTGAACCAAATGGCCACTCCACTTCTCCAAACACTGGGAGGGGACCCACCCCCCACCCCCACCCCCAGGCCTGGCAGGGACACATCCCTACAGCTGGGCAGGCGGGGCTCCTCCATGAAGGAGCAGATTCATCTCTTTTTCAAGGAAATGTCCCCAGCAGCCCTCTGCAGAGCACCTGATGACGGTGACAGCCCCTGAGACATGCCCGGTGACAGATGATGGCACTGAAATCTGATGGTGATGAAAATGAATGGGGCAGTAAACAGACTTACAGAAACAACTCCTTTTGATGAGGATCTTCCAAATTAAACTGGTTTTTTCTAATAAGCTCAAAAAATTCTCCACGCCGCCTTGAAAATAAAGGGAAAAGAAGGTGGTGAGTGAATTAATTACAATGAACCTCTGGCCAACTATTTGCAAAGACTGACAGAATAAAAGGCTTTTTGGGGGGGGGGGTAGGAGGGAGGGTCTGTTACAGATCTTTTCCTAACCTAAGGCCCAATATAAAATTTATTATTCAAAAGTCTTTACTACTGGGGGTGGAGCAGTAATAGTATAATGGGCATTTTGCCTTACATGTGGCTGACCTTGGTTCAATTCCCGGCATTCCAATATGGTCACCCATGCACCGCCAGGATTAATTCTGGACTGCTGAGTCAGGGGTAAGCCCTGAGCATCACTGAGTGTAACCCAACCACCCGCCTCCCCAAATTAAATAAAGCAAAATACTTAATACTTCACCTCTGCCTTCTGACCATTTCTTTATGTGAGATACTAACCTTCACCAAGTTTTCAACCACAGATCACCAATAATAGCACTCCTGAGTCGAGTGTGGTTTTACGAAAATAATACGAAGGTAAAACTTTGATGTCAATGATTTATGAAATTGGTGTGTGTGTGTGTGTGTGTGTGTGTGTGTGTGTGTGTGTATATACACCCAGCAGTGCTCAAAGATCACTCCTGCAGGCTTAGGGCATCCAGGTTGGCCGCATGCAAGACAAGTGCCCTGCCCGCCGTCCTATGGCTCCAGCTCCTGATTCAGTTTCTGTTTGCTTTGGGCAAAGGAGGCCAGGAGCATGGCCTCTGCCCTTTGTGAGTGTGGCAGGGGGATGCGCCTTCAGGGCCTCAAGCGGTGTCTGCGACATGACCGGTTCCTGAAGCGCCTCCTGCAGGCCACGCCCAACATTTGCCACTTGTGTGCAGGCAGAGTTGGCAGAAACCCACTGGGGTCTCCCCCCGCTCTGGCCAGGGCCACCTGTGTGTGCCTAATGGCCATTTCTGAGAGGCAAAGCCAGCACTACCCACCCTGCCCTGCAGGTGTCCCACTAGCCATGAGGAAAGAAACCATGAACTGCATCTGCTTCATCAGGACGGAAAAGGACAGGGTGGGCTTCAGTGTCTCCCAATTCCGGGCATCGGGAGCAAAGCCCCCAGTGACTGAGCCCTCCCGGCCACAGTGCTCTCTCCTCGGGCCCCGGGAAACTAGCTCCCCCATCCACCACACTGCCAGACCCTGGTCCTCTGTGTGGGTGTGACAGCCCAGCAGCACAGATGTTGCCCCGTGGCAGGGCCCATCATGGGCCAGAATGTTTCCTGACCCACCATGCGTGGCCTGCCTGGGCGTCATGGGTGTCAGTTAGCCCTGTTGACAAGTCTTGCCTGCCGCAGCCCCTGCGGGGTCAGGAGAGCAGGTGTGGGCCGGGCACTCACTTGATGTACAGCGCCAGGTCGGTGGCGAGGATGGCCTGCTTGATGATGCGCAGCGTACTCTTGTACTCCTCGATGGAGAGGCCGCTCAGGATCTGGTTGCCCTGTGAGGAGAGATGCCTCGTGAGCTGGGCATGGGCGGGGGGGGGGGGGGGGCATCTCCCTCACCTGGCAGCTGCAATGCTCTGGTTATCTGGGGGTCTCAATGCATAAAGTGTGGGTTGCAACCCCCAGAGCGTTCTTAAGTTTTCATCTAAAAAGAAATTTCTGAGCCAGAACCACAGTACAGCAAGTGGGTAGGGTCCCTGACTTGCATGCATCTGACCCAGCTTCAATCTCTGGCACCCGGTCTGGTTCCCTGAGCCCACCAGGAGTGAACCCGGAGTCCAGAGCCAGGAGTATGCCCTGAGCACTTCCGGGTAGAGCCGCAATAAAAAAATAAAGCAAAATAAAAAATTTAAAAAATAATTAAAAAGTAAGAAATAACCAAATAATAAGATAACCCCCAAATAACAAAACCAAATTATAAAAAAACAAAAAAAAAATTAGATAACTCCTTCACGGTGTAATATCAATCAGTAAACGTTTGGCCTGTAGCCTCCTCTATATACCTGTGTGCCAGGAACTGCTTGAGCACCCTTGGGTGGGGGCCGGGGAGGCAGCTCAAAGGGCTCCTTCTCCCCCATGGGGGGCCCCAGAGATTCCTCTCAGCTCCCTGCGGCTGCAGCACAGGAAGAGACCTTGGGTACCAAGCCAGGAATGCTATACCCCCAACACCCCTGGGTGTGACCTTCACCCCCATGCCCCCCGCAAACAATTTCTTGGGTGGAATGGGGACACTGGGAAATAGGTAGAGAAGCCCGTGTGGGGGAGGGATGTGGTGACAACCAGCACCCTGGCTCGGCCCCCTGCCCCAGAAGGGAGCAAAGTGAGCGCGAGCACCGGTCCGGGAGCAGGGCTGGAATCACACTCGGAGGAGGCCCAGACGGCCTCGGACTCACCGGGCTGTTGAGGATCATCAGGCACTGGTCGAAGTGGTGGTGCTCCATGATGGAGTGGCAGTAGAGCTGTGCCAGCGGGTGCTCGCTCCTGAGGACACAATGGGGAGGGAGGTAGGGCAGAGCGTGAGTCGCCTCATGGACCCGCCCGTTGGGCAATTCCTCTCGGATAACAACAGCTCCTGCCTTGTGGTGGTTGTTTGGGGTCCCGCCTGGCAAGGTTTGTGGGTTACTCCTAGAGGTGCTCGGGCACCATATGGGATGCTGGGGATCAACCCGTGGGCTGGCTGTGTGCAAGGCAAGAGCCCTATCCATTGTGCTATCCTTCTGGCCCCGTGGCCCTGCGGTGAATTCTTTTTATTGCTGACTTAGAGACGCATGCCACAGAATTGTTAAACCCTTTTTTCTTTTGGCTAAAGCATGAGGGCATCTCTGGGAAATAAGAAAGAAATCAGATTGCTTTTGCAGTGCCATCCTGCCGGCTGCCAGTCCCAAGTCCCAACAATCAATATCACTGGTTTGAATACTGATTATAATGGACAGAGGTGGGGGGGAGGGAGGGAGGAAAGAAGGGAAGAAGGAAGAGAAATAGCTGTGCCCCAATTGCCGTTAATTTAAAATCTGAAACGAATGTCAAGTGTGCCAGCTATGTTTCCTCTACCTCATGATGTATCCTTCAGTCCCACACACGAGTGGTTCTTCATTCTCCCTCTCTCCTGACGCGGGTCACTCCCCTGATGCACTCTAGCTCTGCCCTTGTCCCAGCACACTGCCTGACTCGTTAAAGCGGTCCTTGAACTGCAGTGTCCCACTGTGTGGAGGGCGCACTCCGTGGCCGATTCATCTGTTGCTGGGCATTTGGGTCACTTCCCTATTGTGGCTATTACACTATGGACAAACACAGAGCTGGCAGCACTGTTGTCTTTCGAGATACTTTGGATTTGGGGCCGTGGCCTGTGGTGGGAGGTCAGGCTGGACCTCAGGGTCATCATTCTCTCAGATCTCTGGCTCAGACCCCGCCTGGCTGGCAGATGCACACAAGCCGGCCCCTGGCACTCTCTCCTGCCCAGATGCCCACCCAGCCCCTGGACCCTGCTCCTACTCATCCCCTCCAGTTCGCCTGCCCCCAAAGCTCAACACAGACTCCTGATGTCAGCAGACGTCTGCGGGCAGAGTGAACGAGCTTTGTTTGATCCTGTCACTGGCCCTAACCACCATCGCCCTTAGGATTTTCCTTCTTCGCCCTGCATCCTTCTCAAATGTGCTCGCAGACGCATGCGCGCCCCTGCACATACTCCCAAGGCCCCGCAGATTTCTCCACACCCCTGAAGATGCACCCATGGCTCCACAGACACCACGCACCCCTAAAAATGCCCGGCACCCCTGCAGACACCCCCATGCACGCACCCACCCCTGCTCTTTCCATCCTTGCTGTCGTCACTGTTTGGTTTCTCAGACCAGGAGCTCTCAGCTTTCCCTACCTCAGGCATAAAAGCAGCTGCTCAACATTAAATTAAACATCATTTCTCAGGGGCAGGCGATGGCCCAGTGCCAGGTGGTAAGCAGCTGTGGGCCGGGTCCCCTGTGCTGCATGCCTTCGCCCCACCCCATTCTGGCAGCTCTGCTGTCTGGGCTCCCCGACACCGACACCGCAAACCGCCCCCCACTTACCAAAGCCAGATGTGTGTGGGCACCAGAGCCAGGGCGGGACACCACCCCCAGCGAGCACTGTGGTAGCCCCAGGGAGCATCACTGCCAGGAAGTGCCCCAGCTAAAGGGGTATGAACACCAGCAAGCACCAGAGTAAAACATGAGTGTATGCCCATCATTGACAACAGAGCAGTGACAGAGGGAAGAGGGGACAGTCTTTCTTCTCTCCGCCACCGGGCTCTCATCACACACCTGGAACCTTCTGGATCATATACCTGGAACCCTGTCGCTACAGACCTGGAACCTTGTTGCCACACATCTGGAATCTTGTTATCATACCTGGAACCTTCTGTACTATACACCTGGAACCTTATTATCACACCTGGAACCTGCTGGACTACACATCTGGCACCTTGTTGCCACAAACCTGGAACTTTCTGTACCACACACCTGGAACCTTGTTACCATACCTGAAACCTCTGTACCACACACCTGGAATCTTCTGTACTACACATCTGGCACCTTGTTACCGCACCTGAAACCTTCTGTACCATCTGGAATCTTGTCACCACACCCCTGGAAACTTCTCATCACACACCTGGAAACTTAGGTCACACACAGCTGGAATCTTATCACCACACAGTGGAAAGCTCCCCCAGAGCTTCTTGCTTTGGGCCTGCCTGCTTCTCACTAAAAACCCGCCCTTCACCTTTCTCCCCAACCCACGGCAGTGTTCCTCGTTCACACCCTCCATCCATCCATCTGTCCTGTCTCCGTGGCCTGAAGTCCCCCTCACAGCCCTGTGGGTCAGCACGCTGAGCCCGCTCAGTGGGACCCCTCCAGCACCGCCCTCTGAACTGCGGTGGGCCTTCCTGCTGCGGCCACTCCGAGACTCATGGACATGCCCCTGTGGCTATGAGGGAAATTCCTGGGGACAGGAGCCGGCCTTCCCTCCCTGAGCCCCTGCCTGCTGGGGGTGCTCACTCTCCGCCTACCTGAAACTCGCTTCATCTGTTGTTTCCACAGAGCCCCAGCTCAATCCAGTCAAGCCAATGACGTGGCCGCATGTGGACCGTGGGCCTCAAGCGGGAAACGGCTTCACACGGGCAGTGTTGTTGCCTTCCAGCCCGCGCATGCCTTGTGCCCTGCCCTGTTCCTAACGTGCTTTTCTCAGGCTTTGCTCTCTGCTTCGTGGTGGCAAGGACAGTGCAGCCCACCGTGGGACAGGACACACGCTGCTGTTACAATGTGCTGGGGAAGAACAGTTGGTGGATGTTCAGTTCTGACTTCCTTGGCTGACTCTGGCTCTTTATTGAGTGTCTGCCTGAACACTGCAAGCCTCTCTGGCCCCGAGCTCATTAGATGCGGCTCTCTGTGATGCTCGTGGTACTCGCCATGGCCCCAGAGCATCCCACTGGCAGGACCATTCAGAGACCACAGGGGAAAGGAAATCCTGGTTCCTCTCTTCAAAATCACAGGAATATAGGGGAAAAAAATCTTTGGGATGCCTTTTATTTGTTTTCTGTTACTATTGCTTGGTTAGCGGCTGGTGGGCTATGTGAACAAAACACCACCACCTATGGCTTTTTCCCAGGACGTTCATTTTTAATGAGAAGATGATGTTTCTCCAGATGTTTGCTCTGGTAATTATTCTTAAATAAACAAAGGGGGGGGGGGGAAATAGCTGAGTTTTTTTTGTTGTTATTCACTTGATAGCAAGGCAGGATGATTTCCTAAAGCATCTGTCCTCTCAGCATCTTTGGGCAGAGGTGGGCTGCTCAGTCCTTAGAAGGAGGGAGGGGGGCCCCAATGCCGGCTCCTCCTACACACCCACCACAGTCATCAACAAGTCCAGCACCCATCTCCCGCCTCCTCAGCACCGCCAGCACCAGCTGTGCCGTGATCAACACGGGCCACGCTCTGTTCTGGGTGGCATCATCTTTCCGTGCCTTGTTCTGTTCATAATTATTCCCGGGCCAAAGTGAGGCTCCGGACCCAACCACAGGGGATAACGGCCATCTCCCATCTGCTGTCCCAAGAATGAGAAATCTAAGGCGGAAACAGCCGTCTCCGGCATGCCGGCCGGGGCTCGATGGTCTTTTCCCATCAAAGGTCAGCAGAGGATTTGGCTGCTACATCGCGACAATTCTTGGTGCATGAAGTTGTCCGTTTATTTAGATAAAGGGAATGCGATTAGAGCGCCTTCTGAAACTCCCTCCAGACAGCGGACAGACATCTGGACCGTCCTTAGGGGATCTAGCACTCAGTGGAACCTCTTGTCTCTTAAGAAACGCTCAGCTGAGTAAGACGCAGATACCCAGCTCTGAGCTTGAACAGCAGTCGGAAAATCCCAATAGTTGGAGTGGTGCAGAACAACCCGGTGAAAAATAATGTCACCTTTCGCATCTCCACTATCACCGTCCAGGTCCCGTATGGACTGTAAGGCGACCTGCCACTTCTGTCCAAAGATTCTGAGTCAGTCCCCATGGGGTTCTGACCCGGGTCGGCAGCGTGCAAGGCAAACGCCCTACCTGCTGTGCTATTGCTCTGGCCCCTCCCTGCCAGCAACCCGGGTTCAATTCCCAGCATCCCATATGGTCCCCCGAGCACCGCCAGGATTAATTTCTGAGTGCAAATGCCTTACCCGCTGTGCTATTGCTCTAGCCTCTCTCTGCCAGCATTTTGCCTGACATTTTATACTCCCATCACCCATGGGATGGGAAACCATCATCTCCATATTACAGACAGGGAAACGGAGGTTTAGCAGGAGCTTCTCCCTGCCCGAGGTCCCCCAAGCACTCTGAGGCAAAGGGAGCGTGTGAAGCCAGATCTGACAGGAGACTTCAAATATGATCTTTCCCATCCTGGGATAAAATTCTGCCCCTGCTCAACTCGTCTGCTGGAGCCCCAGTGACCTTCCTGAGCCGGCCGCACTGACATGACACTTTCAGTGATTACCAAGTGAAATGAAGATGTACAACATCAATATACCTATTTTTTTGTGCTCTGGCCATCATTCTGGTCAGTACAGGGGGGAGGGCCATGCAGTGGCTGGGGATGGAGCATGAGTTCCAGTCTGTGGATTCATCTCACCAAAACCTCCAGCAAAGAAGCGACTCTGGGGCAGAAGCCTTGCCCACCCAATATTGCCTTCCATTGCTTTTCTCGTTTTCCTTTAATAAAGCCAGAGTGACTAACTTAGGGGCCCACAGGCACATGGCACCATCAAACACTGCTGCCAATGGCTTTGCGACCTAGGAGCGGGGAAGGGCACCTTACCGCTGTATGTAGGAGTTATTCACCCCGCGGTGGTCCAGGTCATGGCTCAGAGCCGCGATCAGCAACGCCAGCGTCTCCAGGTCTGTGAGTTTGTTCTGCACGGCCACGAACATGTGGGAGAGAGCAGAGACAGCTCAGGTCAGACAGCACCCCTCCCTCTCGCCAGCAGTGCGCGCGTCTCCCCCTTACGTGGCTTTAGTGGAACAGAGGCTCTGCCCTCGCGTCTAGTCTGTGGGGACCAAGGGGCGCTTTGCGGTTCAACATGGGATCGTCTCCCCCACCACTGAGAGACAGGCATGCATCCAGTGCCTCCCATGATCAAAATTCGTCTGACGCTGGATGGTCAGCCCATCCAGGAGGGAATGGAAGCGGGACGAGGACCCTGGGGCCGAGGGGATATGTGGAACTCTGTCATCGACAGTGTCACAAATCACAGTGCTCCAACTAAAGGGGGAACAGAAGTCAGTGAATAAGGATCCAAGTCAGCACAGTGACTATTCCCCTGTGCAGCCTCCTGCGCACCATGGGGGTGGGTTGGGGGGGCGGGGCGAGGCCCTGGTGGTCCCCAGCACGGCGGGCTCACATAGTAACAAACCCCCAGAAAGAAGGAAACGCAAGTCAAAATGATCATCTTCTGCAGCCACCCCTGCCCCAGCACAGGATGTTTATGATACACAACATGTTAGCATCATTATTTGCAAAGAGCAACGACTGCTGTCAGTGGTGTGACATGTGTCACCTCCCATCTCTCCAGAAGGAGGTGGCTCTAGTTCTTACATGGCAGCCAAAACACTATTAGAGGGTCTCAAAGGCTTCCTGGACCATGACCACCAATTTTTGGTCTAGTGAGTTAAAGGCTGTGACACACACACACACACACACACACACACACACACACGTTGGGGATATAGTTCAAGTGACAGAGCCTAGGCCCTGCAGAGCAAGAGTTTGAGCCCAAGCACTGCCAGGTGTGGCCCTGGAGCACTCAAGGCAGTGAACAAAAAAAAATGAACACAGATGTTTTTAGTTAAAGATGCCTGGATGGGAGCCGGGAATCACTTTCCTGGACTTGGCTCCTGAAGTCAGAATCTAGCGATGGAGACATGGATGAAACTGGGTCTGGAAAGACCTGATTACTTTTCCATATTGATCGTCTGTGTCCACTGCCTCTGGTCAATGTGTATGAAAGCAACATTCTTTCTATGAAATGGTCTTTGTAAAAAAAAATCATAGTGCCAGAGTAAATGTGGTAGAGATGTTGGATTTATCCACGAAGACAGATGCCTGCCTCAAGCAGGTCCAGGGCAGTTCAGTAGCGGGGCAGGAGAATGAGAATCCAGGGAATAAGATACTTCTGCTACTGCCGCGGCTTTCCTCTGAAGGAAGTCTGTAATTAGTTGCCCAAAGACTATTTCCGGTTAACTGGGCATTCTTTTAAATATATTTTTAATAGGGCCGGGGAGATGGCTCAGAGGGATGGATCTGTGTTCTGCATCCAGGAGGCCGGGTTCAGTGAGGGGCGATGCCCTGAACACTGAGCACAGAGCACTGAGCCAGAGTGTGCAGCCCTCAGCAACATTAGGTGTGGCTCAAAAAAAAAAAAGAATGAAAAAACTGTAATATCAACAGATTTCAAACAAAATGTGTATTTTGCGATTTAGTCTCTAGTAATTGACACCAAGTATTATGTACAATTGTTATGAAAACATTAAGGGGGGGGAGAAAAAAAGTCCCTGAAAGAATACATTGTAACTTATGAAACAACAAAATATCAAAACCCAATCAAACAGTGGCCTTCGAAGTGACCCACCTGGATCTTGCCAGCCTTCAGGGCGGCGAACATGCACTGTGCCGTGTTGAAGGCGTGCCTCCAGTTGTGGTAGGCCACGTTCTTCCGGTAGTTCTTCTTAACGCTTAAGATCCACCTGCAGAGAACCTGTGGGAAATAAAGTCCGTCGGTGACGACAGCTCCTTGACTGGGTGCCAGGCCCTGGGTGAAGCATCCTGGCCCCTACTCCCCACTGTGGGGACCTCAGGACTATTTCCACCCTTCACGAAGCACAAATGGGCCCCGCCTTGTTGGACTCTAGCAGGAGCCACTGTGCCACATCCACATGAGATCCGAGATACGACAGTGCCCAGACTGGGCTTTGGCACACGGCATAAAGGTATCATCTCTCACTGAGAGTGAGTCTAGAAACAGAGGTGATGAGCGACTTCGCCTGTAGGGGGCAGGCCAACCTGGTGTGGGGACAACACTAGGAAACTTGGGGATTCACCGCCAGTCCTGCGGGTAGTGGGGCAGCGTGGAGCCGCATCCCAGGACCTGAGCATCAGATCCTGAACTGTCATGTGCAATCTGCCTCCTTTCAAGGAGGCTACATCTCTGGGACAAGCTATAGCATGGTTACTGTTGTTATTATTATCAACATTGTTTTACATAATACATCCTAAATGAAACTGGCGGCAACATTCAGAAAAGAAAATCTCTTCCAAATATGAATCGGGACAAAGACTCAGGAGCATCCCAAGCTGGGTCTGATTCATCTTCCAAGGGGTCTGTAAAGTCGAGTCACTGTCCAGGGATACTGAGTCTTCAGCACAGCTATTCTGTGTTTGCGTCAGCATAGGAGAGCACTGTGCCTCTTTTTTTTTTTTTTGGCTTTTTGGGTCACACCCAGCGATGCACAGGGATTACTCCTGGCTCTACACTCAGAAATTACTCCTGGTGGTGCTCAGGGGACCATATGGGATGGCTGAAAATTGAACCCGGGTTGGCCACATGGAAGGCAAACGCCCTACCCACTGTGCTATCGTTCCAGCCCCCTCTCTGCAATTCTGAATGATTTATTACACTGTAAAAATAAGTATGTGCTTCTCCCAGCATACTACTTGCTGGGAGAAGCAATAAATACAGCATGGCCCTGGAAAAGCAAAGTGCTTAGAAAATATATTTTCAGCTGATTACTATTATTAGCTCCTTGTGGCATATTTGATATGCCAAAAACAGTAACCAGAACTATCACAATGAAGACGTTACTGGTACCTGCTAGAGCAAAATCGATGAACAATGGGAGGACAGTGAAACAGTGCTACTATTATTTAAGCAACGAGTAGCATTATTTTCCCACTGCTAAGGATTGAACCCAGAACGGCTTCCTGGCACCAGAGTCCTTCCCAGCAGCCCGCCCTGTGCCTACCTCGTGCTTCATCTGGAAGTTCTGCACCAGGTTGAGGTCAGTGAACATGCGGATGGTGCACAGGGCTGTGTCCAGGTCGGACAGCTCGAAGTCGCTGAAGCTGAAGTCAGTGATTTTCAGGGTCTGGGCGGAGGGGACCACAGCAGCCTGAGGCCGGGGGCGCAGAAGAAAATGAAAGGAAGCTGTTGGGGTCGGTGCAGCCACGCAGAGTCCTTTCACGCTGGGGGCTGGATCACGACACGTGCTCACTCTCTTGTGGGAATTAGGGAATGTCTTCAGTACAGGACTAGTTCCACCGGGAAAAGAGGGGGTCCCGCTGGTGGGAAAAGGGTGTGGGGAGTGGGGCTCTTGAGTCCAGGGGAAGTGACCCTATACCCCTCGCCTCTGGTCGTACCTTCTGCTCACTTTTACCTGCTCAAAGGGGCCCATGCTGAGGGCGGGTCGGGGGGAAGTAGGGGGTAGGGGCCAAGCTGGATGGGGATGATGGATAAGCATCGAACACAGAGTCCTCGGACTGAGAAAGTGGATGCTCGGGGCCTGTTCTCCAGGTGCAGAAACTTAAACATTAGAGACCCTTTCCTGCAGCTTGTCAGGGACGAGGGCAGTACTCCCCCGCCGCCAGGTCACCAAATCCCCACGGCGACACACTCAGCGGTTCCAACCCCAGGACTGGGAGAGCTACTTTGGTATTTGGGGATCGAGGGTGTTTTGCCTTTTCTTTACTTGGGGATTCTGAGTCCCTCCTCGAATCCCGATGCTAATTCCCCAGTGCTGAAAGAGGGACTGAGGAGATGAAGGTTGTTTGCACCTCCCTCCCCATTAGAGGGGGTGCAGCCTGCTCCCGTGGGACACCCCCAACCCCCGTGTGCAGGTGGGAAAGACCCACATTTTGAGTCACAGCAGCCAACAGCTGCTTCCGCCCCCAGCGCCCAGTGGGCTGTCAGAGAACAGATGTTTTCTCCTGGGGGCATCTTTATACCCCACAGCAGGAAGTTTCCTCTCCTTCCCCAGGGCGGGACAAACACAGCCAACACAGCTCAGGCCTCGGTCCCCCTGCAGCCACACCACTCCCCCTCTCGAGCTCTCCCCATGGACACCCAGACACTCCCCCTTAGGCCCCGGGGTCTTGAACACTGAGGGTCCGTGACAAGCAGGTCACAATAGTGCTGGATGCCACCTAGAGAATAACCGACAGCAGGAGGTTCGAGTAAAAGGTGCCTATGGGATAAAGGCGATTTATGTACAATGAATCACCTGCAAGTCTAATAACCGTTCTAGAAAACAAAAATTTCGGGGCAGTTGGGGGGGTGGCAAGCGGTTTGGGGCCACACTCACTGGTGATCAACGATCACTCCTGGAGGTGCTCACACGACCATACATGTTGCTGGATGTACCTGAGGTGGGCTACATGCAAGGTGATGCTTTAACCCTTGCACTGTCTCTCTGACCCAGAAACGAACCTTTTATCAGAAATAAAGCCGTTACCAAGGCCACAGTCTCCTGGAACTTCCGGTCGGTGAGATTCAGAACCCTTGGATGAGGTAAATATAACGGCCACTTGACTGGATTTCTCACTCTGGGCGGTTGCCTCCCGCAAAGGGTTTATATTTAGCCTGTGGCCGAGTGTCCAGTGACCTCAGAAGAAACTAAAGATGTGGCAGCAGCATCTGTTCCACTCTGTGGTCCCCGAACAGGCAAGGTCACAGGCTGGGTCTCAGGAGCCAAGGGACAATTCCAGAAACAACTCCGAAAGGCCCACAGCTGAGAAAGGCTCCTTATTTCACAGAATTCCTCATTAAAGCAAGTCTCCCAAAAGAAAGGCGACCATTGAACTAGATCATCTGGAAAATGTCAAACTCTCCCTTTAGTGAAAGCATTCTGTCTTTGGGTCCATGCAAATGTGTCACATACAAAGAATTTTCCTCGATGCTTTTTTTTCCCCTCCCCCAGGAGATAATTTTCAATTTGACTGGAAATTGGTTTCGATGAAAGATGACTAAGGAACGTTTTTCGTAGTTCTAAATATGGGCTTCCTTTAACCCAAGCCCACAGTACCTCCTCCCAGAGCTCCTTCCACTTCTGCTCTTGGAAAACAACAAAATTTGATGTTTCCAATGTCAAACAACAGGTCTGTGCTGAGTTTACTGGCAGCTCCTAGAAGAACTTCTTGGTCGGGAATTCTGGGCTGCCCTCCTGCATCCCTAAACCCATCTTGAGGGCTGGTGCCCCTAGTGACAGCAGTGTACCCACCAGCCAACCCATGCCCTCACCTTAGTCTCTTTCCTACTGTCAATACACACCCGATCTGTGTCCTTAAAACAAAATCTGAGGCCAGAGCGAGAGTACAGTGGGGAGGACGCTTGCCCTGCATGCAGCTGACTGTGATTTGATCCCCGGCATCCTGTTTGGTCCCCCATATACACCACCAGGGGTAATTCCTGAGTGCAGAGCCAGGAATGGCCAAACATCTCTCCCCCCCCCCACCCCCGCCAAAAAAAAAAAAAACTAAACCCCATGCAATTAGTTTATGCATCTGTTAGAAATTATTTTTCTCTATTAGAGAATCCAAATGTGGACAAGAAAGAAATACATTTCTGCAAAGGGGTTGGGGGGTGGGGAGGCTGGTGAGTGTGTAACCCATTATGGGGGCCTGGAGATTACAGCAAATCAAGAAAAATCAAGCAAGGAAGTTACGTCGGGATCCCCTCTTCCTAATGCTGTAAAAGTAAACTTAAAAAAAAAAATCTCCAGTAAGGAAGAGGCACACATTGTTTTTAAACCTAGGGTAATGAGCATAGATATTTTCACAGAAGGGCTTATAATTATGTCAAGATTCTGCCAAAAACCATCTATGTCAGTAAATCTTTAGGCCTGGGAAGGACACACACACACACAGAACTGGTTGGCATCCGGGGACATCGAATAAGCTCAGTCTACTTCTATGACTACTCAGTCTATTTCTGTTCTACAGCAGGGCTTTTTCAGTGTGTGTGTGTGTGGGGGGGTCCTACAGGGGTCCTAGATGGGTCCTGGGATATTCCAAGGGGGTCACAGGTGAAAACCACATAAACGGGGTGCAAAGCACAGAACTAGGGGGCGCCACTGATATGGACAGGGGGATCTCAAGAAGGAAGAAAGGTTAGAAGAGGACCCACTCAGAAATGAGCTCAGAAACACAACTAAGCCTTTTACGAACCTCTCTGACCATGGGAGCACCTGCATGGTCCTAGAGGCATTTGTATGAGGGGGGTAGCAAACAAGCACTGAAATCCTAGGCTGCATTCCAACCCCCTTCAATGAGTAACTTGACCTACAAGCGACACAACCCTACATTTCTCAATGCAGCTGCCAGAAATCTCTCTTCCAAATGGAACAACAGATGGTTTGGAACAATACTGCCAATAGAGCAATTTCCAGTTCTTCTAAAGCATTTTCCTCTTGCTGAAATTCTACACATAACTGAGAAAGAAATTTTCAAATTTTTCCAGATTGAAAAAAACCAAAACGCCCCAAAGCCAAACAACAGAGCTATTTTCAAACTGGAAAGCAAATATGTGTGTGTGTGTGTACATTGATTGCATTATATATACAATGTATATATATAAAATATATACAGTAAGATTTTTTTTGCATTACCTTTAGAGATTACTTTACACGCACATTTTTAGTCTCAGAGAGCACGTGGTAAAGTTTAACTCTGCCATCCTTTAAGAACCAACTCATTCCCACAGTACCTACAAATCCTTCATATGATCAATCTCAGCTCACAGTATGCTCTTAGTTCAAAACTCTGGGCCCTCGAAGGAATCAGAAGGAACAGACACACAGACCAACTGAAGCTGACATAAGGAATACCTGAAACTTTTTAAATCACTGAAACACTGCTCACCGCTTTAAATGCTTTAAAGGACACACGAAATAAAGACAGCCCATTTCACAAGACAAACCTCCCAGAGAAGTTTAATCTTTCAGGCAGAAATCATATCAAGTTCCCTAACTTGTTCTTTTGGCAAATGAGTAACCCAGCTTCCTACTTAGTGATTCTGTTTTGACTTAAATACTCATGGGCTTGTAGATCCCTGAGTTCTTGGGTAAGGGGCCAGTACTGTGGATGCAACTTTGTCCATGAGAAGCAAGCAAGCTCTACCGCTGAATTCCACGCCAGGCCCTCTCAGGGGTTGAACTGAGAAACGCTACACATCCTCATCCAGTGTCTTCCTTTCTGGACCATTCTCTCTCCAGCAGGCTACCGTGGGCCTGGGTGCCAGACAGGGGCTGCTGCCTGGATTCAGTACTGGCTCCAACTCTTGGAACCAAACCAACTCCATCGTGTCCCTGCTGTGTTGAGAATTCTGGGTGAGCTGGGGGAGTGCCATTTGTTCAGGAATCCCCTGTTTTCTCCTCTTTGGTAATAAGAACAGACGCAGGAGATCATCCATCTGCTGCCTGTTACAACACACCCCACGCAGCAGCCTTGGGTGGGAAGACTCTTGTCAACCAATTGCAGACAGACAAGTGGGCCACTCAGAGCCACCCCGGAAGTTCCAAACCTGGGGGCTGGGGCTCAGGTCCTGGCCAGCATGGCCATGTGAAGGTCCGGGTTGGATATACTTGGGGCTGCCCCTTGGCTGTGGTCCTGGGCCCTGGCTCTCTTCTCAGAGGTTCAGCCTCTTCTATGCTATGTTGGACTCACGGATACTTAAGACCTAGAACTTTGATACCGAGAAGGAAAATCTAAACCAGTGCGTCTCTCTCTGTTTATCTCTCCCCTTCGCTCTCTCCCTCTCTTCCCCTCTCTCTCATTCTCTTTCCCCTCTGTTTCCCCCCGCCCCACCCTCCCTCTGCCCCTCTTCCTCCCACGCTTTCCCCTCCACTCTTCCCCTCCCTGTTCTTCCCTCTCTCCTCTCTCTGTCTATCTGTGCTGGAACTGATACAAAAGGGTAGTTGGTGCCTTTGGTGCAGTTTCTTTTTTTTTTTTCTCTCCCAAACTCCCAGAAAGGGGGCAGTGGGTCAAATAAGCTGGGAAAACTCTGATCTAAACTCTTGAACCTGCCAACTGTCAGCTTCCATTCCACAAAATGCCACTGACAATGGCCTTGCAGGGCCGTGAAGGAGTAAATCTGTCTGGTGACACCCATGAAGCGCTTCAAGCCTCCAGATGGACGGGAAGTGCTCCAGAGGGCTCCAGAAATGCAGTGGGCCGCACTTCTTCCCTTCCAGCCCGCTCCCAGAGACACCTCGCCAAAGCCGAGGCCTCGTCTCCATGCAGCTCTGCTTCCGGCTCCTGCTCTCGGGCCTCACACTCTTTCCCCCTCCCCTCCCAGTACAGGTGGGCGTTCAGCACACAAGCACCAATACACCAAAACGACCAAGCCTTGCACCGTCAGCGGCCCTCACCCTCAGGACGACACCTCCATGCTCTCTTCTACACGGACATTCACGAAAACTCTCCACTCCCCTGCGCTGTCCTCCTGCTGCAGGTTGGGGTCACACCTGGCTGCACTTAGGGGTCCCCACTGGTAGTATTTGGGGGACTACGGGCAGTGCTGAGGTTCAAACTGGGGTTGGCCATGTGCTGGACGAGTACCTTAAACCCTGTACTATCTCTCCAGCCCCCAAACACAGCAGTTTATTATTTTTTAAAATACTGCCTTTATTATTATTATTGGGCTGGAGTGATAGCACAGCGGGTAGGGCGCCTGCCTTGCACGCAGCCAACCTAGCCGACCCACGTTCGATTCCTCCGTCCCTCTCAGAGAGCCCGGCAAGCTACCGAGAGTATCTCGCCCACACAGCAAAGCCTGGCAAGCTCCCTGTGACGTATTCGATATGCCAAACACAGTAACAAGTCTCACAATGGAGATGTTACTGGGCCTGCTCGAGCAAATCGATGAACAAGGGGAGGCTAGTGCTAGTCCTACTGCATTATCATTATTATTATTATTATTATTATTATTATTAGTAGTAGTAGTAGTAGTTGTTGTTGTTGTTGTTATTTGGGGGGCCATACCCAGGGATGCTCAGAAATTACTCCTGGCTGTGCTGGAGGGACAAATAGGATGCTGGGGATGGAACCCAGGTCGGCCGCATCAAGATAAGTGCCTTACTTGCTGTGCTGTTTCTCTGGCCCCATAGGGGTTTAATCTGTCACCAGGATATACATCATTGCCACCAAAAGCCTAGTGTGCGCCCACTGCTGTAAAATTGAGCCCCTTAACTCAATCTACCCACCCTCTGCTCCTATATCCACTGGCAGCCACCAGCAGCAGAGTAGGGAAAGAGCTTTAATCTCCTCTGAACAGCTCCTGACGGCATCCTGTGGGGCATCAGGAAGGCGCTGGGTTCGGCCCCGACCTCTGTCCCCCTTCCCCGCTCACACTAGGTATCAACTAAAAGGTCACTTGGATTCCCAAGTCCCATGCGACCTTCCTCTCTGACACAGCTGGGCACTGACGAGAAAGGTAGGGAAGGTGAGAGGGTGTCACGTGCTGGATGCCATGATGAGGACAATGCGGAAGCATCTCTCTCCTCACAGGACTCTGTCCACCGCACTCAGAGCTTTCACCGCCAGCAAGTCCACCCCAGGCTGGCCCAGGCCTGAGACCATTTTTCTTCTGTAACAGTATGCTTTCCTCAATGGCTTTTCTCTTGCTCATCACGCTAGAAAAAAACTAATGAGAATTCAAGGAACTGGCCTGATTTGAACCCAGTTTCACTCCAAACCCTCAAGGTCAGGAATTTAAACCCACTCTCATTTCGCCACAATGCCATGTGGGCACCAAACTCTCAAATCTCTGCTGCCATGACCTCACCCAAACAGCCTCCTTCTAGCTCGTGTCCCCGGGCACCGACAACTTCAATTTAGACCCAGGATAGATGATGACCATTAGTGGGGGAACGGCAGAATCAGGCACCATGTTACAAGCCAACAGCCGTCACCACCCCGGCTATGTCTGACCAGTGCCTTTGAAGGCCTGTGGGAAAGCAGTATCGATGGCCTGTTTCTAGAAGCATCTATGAACCACAACTGACTAAATGTCTAGGAAGCCATGAGGAGAAGCTGAGCTCCTAAGGAGAGCAGCGTTCAGTATCCATCAGCTCTCTGTGGTTGGTCATTTCCACAGAGAATGGGACAGAGAATTACCGCTAGAGATTGGAGCTCCCTGGTCTCCTCCTCAGCCGCTGATGCGTGGTAGGACAGAACCTGCGGGTGGGAAAGAAGGACTCAGGTCACACCAACGCGCACCTGAATCCCACACTCAGGAATCTGGTGGAACTTTCACGCCCCTCAGAATGTTCCACCTTGTTTCCTGCTTTCTTCAATAGAGAGAAGAGCCTGAAGCTTTCCCTTCAAAAGTGTGTTTCAGAAAACAACTCCTACCTATGGTGTTCAAAGAAAGCTCTTGACACTTTAGTTCTGTCATGACTGACACAAGAAACTCCATTAAGAGTCACACCAGGCTGACTCAAGAGGGGAAGAAAAATGTTTAATTTTTGAAAAAATGAATGTTTTTCAGAATATGCATGCCAGTTCTTGTTAGCTGTGCACAGAATGATGGGCAGAAAGCATGAGCTTACATTTGAAGGTGGCAATCTGGAAACAAAGTCTTCTGAAGTGGCTCTCAGGGGCCCTCACTCCTGTGGGATTCATGAGGAAACTGTGGGGCTATCACCCGGGCATGGAGCCCAGCCCTCACAGGTGTCTAGGCTGGCAGGTACAGCTCCAGCCTAAACACCACTTCTGGTATGGCATCGAGGACTTGTTCAGTGATACCAGGGAACCAGGAAGTCTGAGGACCCAGCATCCAACTCTCAACCTGGTACATGTTTTTAAAAACTAGTGAATTCTGCTGCTTGCACAGAGAGAGAAGGAGCTGGAGAGACGGGCAAGGGGTCGGCCAGCTAAAGGGCACAGACTGGGAGAGAAAAGGGAATGTAGATAGGATGGCTTTGGAGGGAAAAAGCACAGGGCTGAAGGAGGCAGATAACCCAGCAAGCTCCTCAGTGCTCCTCTGACTTTGAACAAGGCAATCCCAAAAGTGGTCAGGACGGGGGGGCAGGGGGCACAGGGACAAGCCGCGTGTATGGCCACAGGTCACCCACCTCTAAGGTGACCATCTGCTTGGCCATGGCTCTCTCCACCGCTTCGTACATCTGCGTGTTCTGGATGCCCAGCCCACAGAAGATCACAAAAGCTTCCAGAAACTGTTCGTCATTTCGGTTGAAAGGCTTCACCTGGCCAGAATTCTCCTCCATCTTATTAACAAGTTGGCAGACCCCTAGGATGAGCCAAGAAAGTGAGCAAAGGTGAGCACAGTGACCCAAGTTTTTACTGACATTAACACAGCACACCCAAAAATGATCTTTGTTTTTTTTCTTAAAGGTGCTTGACATTTTCAAATAAAAGAATCCAACCTCCGTACCCCCCCTCAACAATATAAGCTAGAAAAGTCAGCTGAATTGACATAAGAATCTGTTTCACATAGGCCTAAATATATGAGGGCCTATGTTAAAAAAAATCCTCGAGTACTATTTTCTTTCAGACTTGGTTGTGAATTTTAGATCAGTTGAGTCCCCAAAGACAATTTGTCCTTTGGAGACTAATTGGATTTTTGTACACTTGCCAAGAGAACAATTTTGATACACACCAGAATTTTGGGTCACACGAGATTGCCTTTCCTTGCTGAGAAACCAGAAGTCAAAAAGCGCACACTTTCATGTGAAATAAATTACAGAAAATGGGCAGTTCGTTTTAGATATGTATTTAGATAGATCACGGCAGAGGCTGGCAAGCTCCACGTGGCATATTTGATATGCCAAAAACAGTAACAAGTCTCACAGTAGAGACGTCACTGGTGCCTGCTTGAGCAAATAGATAAACAATGGGAGGACAGTGCTACAGTGCTATTAGATAGATATTCTGTCTTGCATTTTAGATATGCCCGTTTGTGTCCAGGAGAGAGCTGTATTGTAGATAACTTCTGATACTGCAAACAGATGCAGTTAAATATGACTCTTAGAAATAAAGACACTCCCGTCTTACCAATTGCCAGAATCTGGAAACAAGCCTGAGTGCCCAAGAATAGATGACTACTTAGAGAAACTATGGTATATCTACACAATGGAATACTATGCAGATGTTAGACAAAAATGAAGTTATGAAATTTTCTTATAAATGGATGGACGTGGAGAGTATCATGCTGAGTGAAATAAGTCAGAAGGAGAGGGACAGACTATAAAATGCTCACTGACATTCGTTAGCCTAAAAGAACATATCCCCAATAGGATAAAAACACAGGGTTTATGTCCTCCAGCTTTTGTGAGTCCAGACTCACAATATAGGATTGTTTATGTAAGTACTTGGTGCTTTCCCCAAGTCACAGTTTCTTGTAAGTCACATGTTTCACCCTCTGGCTCACATCACAGACATAATTGTCTTTCCATGTCCACTCAAATTCTCTCCCACTTAATGGCCATTTTTGCGTCTGTCCCCTGGTGGGCATGACTGCATGTCTACAGAAGGGAAGACAAACAGGAGGAGTGGAGATGGGGCTGCCAGGGTCATAGCCAGGCTTCGACTTGGTTGAATAACCATCCCCGAGAGCAATTCAAATCTACAGCCCCGACAAAATCCACAGACGGATTCATCAGGAGGAATTAATTAATGCTTCTAGGAAACAAAGGTACTGAAACGGTAAGATACTGATACTATAAGGGTACAAGTATCAGGACCTGGCTGTTGCAACTCACAATGGAACATTAAGCATGTTTGCACACACAGAGACATGCACGCATACAACATACATATATGTTATTTGACGGGGGAGGGGGGTGTTGGTTAGGCCACACCTGGTAATATACTCAGGGTTTGTTATTGGCTCTGTGCTCAGGGATCACTCCTGGTAGTGCTCTCAGGACATATGTGAGGACTAGAACCAAGTCAGCTGTATGCAAGGCGAGTGCCCTATCTGCTATACTATCTCTCTGGACCCAGTTAACTTTTGTGGGGTTTTGTTTGTTTGGGTTTGGGGGCCACACCCAACGGTGCTTAGGGCTTACTCTTGGCTCTATGCTCCTTCAAGGATCACTCCTGGCAGGGTCAAGGGGGACCAGATGTGGTGCCGAGGACTGAACCCAGGTCAGCCATGTGCAAGGCAAGCACCCTACCCACTGTACGATCTCTCTAATCCCAGTTAAGTCTTGGTTAATAAAATGTTTAAAGATCTATATAGATTTAAATATTTTAAGCAGCTATAGTTTCTAATTATGAGATACAGAAGTAAATCTATCATCATTAAATTGTATTTATTTATTGGTTTTGGGGCCACACCCAGCTGTGATCAGGGATCACTCCTTGTGGGGACGTGAGGACCATATATGGTGCTGGGGATCAAACCTGGGTGAATCACGTGCAAGGAGTCTTAACCCTCCACTATCTCACCGGTCCTAAATTTTATATGTCAAATCTTAAGCTTCCTTACGTTTTCCTTCACTATAATATTCTATGAGAAGAATACTAAAGGAAACCACCAATAGTTTTGGCTTTTATATAACTATGGTATCAGCTTATTAGAAGTATATATGACTCAAACAAATGCTTCAAAATGACAGGAGATTTTTGCTGAAATCAGTGAAACTGATTCTACATTATGTTTCTGCCTTAAATTCTACCTTGCTATTTTGTTATTTCTATTCAAATTTTTTCCTATTTCATTTTTTTGTCATTTTGTGAAAAATACGGCTTTGTAAGTCATGACACATATCTTCTAGAAAATCCTCAATTTCTGGTTCAGTCAGTTTGTTGTCAATGTGACTAAGAAATTTTTCAGATCTCTTCAATCAATTCTTGAAATTATACTTATTTTGATTTTGTATGCTTTCACTTTTATGACTTTAAGCTCTACATTCTCAGTGTTCTTGTTTTGGCTCATTTTCTTTGAATTATTACAGCCGCTCCAGTCTTACCAAGCCTAATTTAAAGCTCTCAAATTGAAAAAAATATGGATCCTCTACACAATATAAACTTCAAGGACTGTGTACAGTGAAAAACCAGGCACAGAGATGGAAATGTGAGTTAACTGAAGTATAGAGACTCCTGAGTTGCTTTTTAGGGGTGGGCTGGGAGTGGGGTGTGAGGTCAGGAAGGAGACTAACGTCATCCAAACTCTGCCTTGAAATCACGATGGGAAATAGCAGAAGAACTTTTCGTAAATCTAATGTGGAAAAAGGGCTTTGGAAACCTAATGGGGAGGGAAATAATTGGTGAGAATAAATGAATGGTGACTGAGAAAATTATTTCCTCACAAGCACTATAGAAGCAAAGTGGTGGAAACTCTCCTGATGGCCAGAGCACCAAGAAAACATCTGACAGGAAGCAGTGCCTCGGGGAATACATCTGCTGCTGCTGCAGGCCCAGCCCGGCCTCGTGTCTATCATTTCACCACGTCAGTAATGGGAAAAGGCGAGGCAGGAGGAAGATCAGAGTCCGTGAGGACCCATCTGTCTTCCTGGGGAGCCTCCATGGGGACTCTCTGTTCGAATCACTGAAGAGCGGAATCTGGCCTGTGACACTGAGGACAAATGATCTACCATCATGAACTTCTCCAAGCCACAAGTGTGGGTGCTAAGTGTGGCCAAGACGTCGAATTCTCTTTCAGCACCCTAAGAATGCAGCAGGAATGTTTGTTTGTTTGTTTGTTTTTGCATGCTGGTACTGACTTGAGTCTCCCTCTACCCACCCCAAATATTTCACTGGGGCAACAACTATTTTCACTGATCTCCAAACAACATTTGCTTATCACTTTGGGCTTCGTTCTCTAGCAGGGTGGTATAAAGCAAGCCTAAAAGGCCTATTTTTTGCTTTTGTTTTGGGGGTCACAGCTGGCAGGGTTTTAGGGTGGCTCTCAGTGGTGCCTGGAGGATGGTGCAGTGTCATGGATGCCCAGTCTCCTGCATGCCCAGAATGAGCCCCGGTACACTGCGCTATGTTTCCGGCCCAGAGTCTGACTGTTTCAATGGGCAGTTTTTAGACTGGGGGGATCCCTCGACTCAAGGAAGGCCAGGATTATAGGATGAGAATGTTGAACACGCCTGGAAAGTCATCATGCTCCTGTCCGTCTCCAGGGAGAGTGTGGCCATGACCACAGGTCAAGGAACAGAACCCGCCTCTCCCATGCTGCTGTGACAGCCGCTTCCCTTCTGCTCACCACCACATGTACCCAAGAGGGGACAGGGTCTTCCTAAGACCCCAGCCCTAAGTGCTTCTTCCAAGAGCCACCACTGAGCAGCCAGGATGCCGCCTGTGCAAACTCACTAGTCAACTGTGCTTCGCTTCCAGAGTCCCATGTCCCATCCTCAGCAAGGGCTTATCGCAGCTCTTTACATGGGTACCACACAGGTACCATAAAAGCTTAAAGAGAGAGAGAGAATGGTGGGGATGGCACTTGCCTTGCATGCAGGCGACCTGGGTTTTTTCCCTGTCATTCTTGAGCCAGGGCTAAGCCCAGACACACACACACACACACACACACACACACACACACACACACACATGCACACACCCTTAATGTTCAAAATGTAGTTTTCCCTGGGACTGCCTTGCAAGTACATGTGCGCGCGCGCACACACACACACACACACACACACACACACACCCTTAATGTTCAAAATGTAGTTTTTCCTGGGACTTCCTCACACACACACACACACGCACACACATGCACACATGCATACATGTTTAATGTTCAAAGTGCAGTTTTCCCTGGGACTGCTTAGCATGCATGCACACGTACATACACACACACACACTTAATGTTCAAAGTGCAGTTTTCCAGGGACCACCTAGAAAGAAGTGTACAATCCAACGGTATCTGTTCTGTGGGGCACTTTGTCAGTTCTTTCACCATTTCTGAGGTAGAATCTGCCAAGGGCAAGGTGAGGCCCTGAGTCCTTCTGGGGAAGTGGCTGAATGGAGAGCTGAGCCAAGCAGACATCTCGCCAGGGTGCAACCGCCTGATCCCAACCACAGTGTCTTAGAAAACAAATGGCCATGGACACAGCAGTAGCAGAGTAGGCATGGCATTTGCCTTGCAAGTGGCCAACCAGGATTCGATCCCCGGCATCTCCTAATGTTCCTGAGCTGGCCAGGAGTGGTTCCTGAGAGCAGATCCAGGATTAAGACCTAAGCATGCACAGCTGGCCCAAAAGCAAACAAACAAAAACCTACACCAAACCACAGCTCAGCACCCTCAGCCTCCCAGCCCTACCAGGAACCAACGTATCCCCGGCCAGAACTCCACCTCACACCTCAGTTCCTTGCATAGGGCCTGAGGGACAGGCTAGCACAGGGGCCTAGGCACATGCTATGCAGGCAACTCCCCCAGCTTTGATCTTGGCACTGTATGGTTCCATGAGCATCATTGCAAGTGGCCCTGGGAAGGCCAAGAACGCATCCCTGCCTGCGATGAGCCAGTCTGAGAGAAAATAAATGTGGATGAGGGAAATCAGGAAGGGAGTGCCCCCGCAGGGGCAGCTGTGAGAAATCCCACCCCCAGGAAAGCCCAGGCTACTCTGGCTGCTCCCACACACCCGAGTGATGACCCACAGAGCTGCTAGAGTCTGATCTATGCTGACCGCTGTTCCCACCCCATGGGTACCCGGGGAACCAGGTGGCCCAGCTCCTTCCAGTCCCTGTGTGTCCCCCTGTTTTTCTGAAGTGAAACTCTTTCCTCCACTCCGCTGCGAGTTTCTTCCCTTTTCCCCCAAATTCTTGGGAGAACACCAACAGCTGAGGCTTTTCACAGCCTTAATCAGGCCCGATTCACACATAAAACCCCGTGTTTTTGGTTTTACTCTTAACATCAATTTCAATGCCAAGAAACAAAAACAACAGTAGAAAATACAAGTCATTCCCACCACCCCCTTCCTCCCCAGGATTCACTTGCAGCAGCCCCGAGGCAGATGATTTTTCTAGAATATTTTCACCATCATGTAACCCCTCCCCCATCCCCCTCCCCCCCCCCCACACACACAGAGGCAGGGGTTTCTGTTCTGTTTTGTTTCATCACTTATCCCTCGTGCCTCCAACAGTGGGGTTCACACTAAATACTCTAAATAGTCTGGAAACAAACACTAAACAGCACCTTCGAGAAAGAAAAATAGAAATCAGACAGAGTGGTTAACAAAACGTATTATCAAGGTGATATCTTTCAATGTACTTTCAATGCCTCAATGCTAAAATTTCTGCTGAAGTAGAGTAATGGCTACAGAAACATAGCACGAGAAATATTAAACAAATGCTTATCAACAATCAGTATCAAATTATTTCAAAATTCTTTCCTCATTTCCTTCCATTTCTTTATCCCTCCCCTCATTTTTTAGAATATACATTTATACTTTAAAGAATGAAGTTGGTAGAACTATGGTTTTCTTTAATAAATACAAAGTAGAGGTTAACAAAAAAGGCTTTACCTATCACCTTATTCTTCTTTCCATTCTTTATTGGTGTACAAAGCAAACTTCTAATGCACTGTGGATTAACAGTTCCTGTGTTCTCATTCTAGGCAAAAAAAAAAATACATATTATCTAGTACAAAGTTTACATAAATGTAACATAAGGCAAATTACTTACATTATTAAGACAAGAAGAGCCTATGTCTTTTCCTTGTTTATCTTTTCGAACAGCTTATAATATTAATCAAAAACTCTTATTCATTACCTACTATACCCATAATGAAGATGCTGCATATAATGAAATAACAGAGGCAGAATCAAGAAGCCTTATAGGACTCAGGACATTGCCTACTTTTGTCCATACGGTAAACAAACATCCTCCGAAGATTTCCTAGGTGTGCAAACGACAAAGCCAATGCAGCTGCCTCAAACTGCAATGCTTTTTAGAAATAAGAGAAAATACCAGGTTCAAAGTTTCCAACGTCTGAGAAATAGAGCTTTGGGGGGAGCTTAGCTATCAAGAAAAACATTTTATTTGTCCGTAGAACTCCTCACTGAGGTTGACAGGCTACCCAATCTCGACACTCAGGAATAGAAATTTCTGAGGACAATGAAGGACTCTTTCTACAACAATCCAGATGGAACCAGAGAGTGTCAACTGTGAAGTAAAGAAGGACAAAGGGAGGACAAATACCAGCTGACCTCACTGTGGTACTGAGAGAATCCCAGAGGGGAACAGACAGGATCTGATGACAACAAACTCTTGACCTTTGCATAACATAGTTGAGGAACCAGGGAACCAGGTTGGGGGGTAGGGGGTGAGGAAGAGGCGAACTAGAAGTAACACAGAACAGATTGAGTGGTAGAAGGCTACCTAGGACACCATGAGTGGACACATAAACAGCTACCTCAACTATAATAAAATAAAAACAATAATGAGGTTGCAAAGTGTAAATAAATGTGTTTTACAAAGAATTTGAAAGCAAAAGACAAACAAACAAAACCCCAAAAGACATAAATAGAGAGTGAATACTTCAGCATGGCTGACCGCCTGTCAGCAGATGCTGAGGTTGTTTTAGTCTCCTCCCCAGAGCTAAGAGCAAGCAAGGTCAGGTTCCGGTCACTCCCGAGGAGGTCATCCTCCTCCGGCCAGCCCTTGGGGTGCAGGGTCAAGGTCAGCATGGAACTGGGAAACAGGCTGTGGGCTCCACGTCTTACACAGGGCTACTTACTGTCCAGGGGAATCTTCTATCCTTAGTCACGTCCGGGATGTTCAGTGGTTCCATGGTATTTTTGACATACTGAGCATACATGTAATTCACTCTGGCTGGATCACGTTCCCTATGGAAAGAACAGATACAGATCTCCTTCTGAGCGATGAAGCAACAGTGCAGAACATCAGGAATGGGTGGGTGCTGGTGTGTGCCACCGGTGGCTCACAGCCAAAGGTGGTTTGATGAATACGTATATGGAAGCAAATACGTATAGCAACACTTGTGTCAAGATCATATGTATATGATCACCTCCTCAGGAAGACCCCCTGGTGTGCTCTGGTGACAAGAAAACTTTTAAAAAGCGGTTCTAAAATTACAGGGGAAAGTGTCTGTATCTTAACTGACACATGGAGCTCTCAGTTATTGCTGATTTTTCAACTTTGGGAGTTATCGTAAGTTGAACTGCTCTTAAAAGACAGAGATCCACAATCTTTTCACCTCAATGCTGTCACACATAGTTGTAAAATGTTGCACAGAATTTCACCACCGCTATTAGTGGGCATGCTGAGCTTTGAGCTGTTGCATGTTAGAAATCAGATGAATTACTAAACCATGCTCAATGTTCTCATCACATTATGAAGAGTAGCACTGTTCAAGATTTTATCTACCGAAATGAAACAATCTTTTTAAAAACTTATTTCCAACCAAGGGTGGTGGGGGCAGGAGTGGAGTGGGGGGGAACCAGGAAGGGCTAAAATTATTTTTGTTTGGTTTTGCTTTGGTTTTGGAGCCCCACCTGGCTGTGCTCAGGGCAGGGATCACTCCAAGTGATGCTCAGGGCACAGTATGTGATGCTGGGCTTGAATTCAGGTCGACTGTGTGTGAGGCAAGTGCCTTTCCTGCTGCGCTATCTCTTTGGCTCCTAGAATTTTAAACTTTTTCGCCATTTATAAAACAGGCCCTTCCGTAGTGCAGGTTGCTTATGTGGGTTCTGGGGCCTGGAGCACAGAGCTGGGGTCCCCCAGGGCCACACCAGGAGCTGTCGGGGCCAAACTTAAGACCAGACAAATTCCAGGCCTGTGCTCTGCAGCCCCAACCTCACCAGCCACTTTCTACGCTGTTTTAAAATGAAAAAATTTTAATTTTTCTTTTTTCCTCCTGGACTTCCTGTATTTTTCATATTCTTTTAGTAGAAGCTGCATTTCTCACATCCTGGGTTGGACGGAAAGGGCGCTTGGATTTCAGGGTGTGTGTGAGAGCATGGGTCTATGAAACCCAACCCCCTCCGCAGGAAGACCCCCAGGGTGCCCTGGTGAGGGACAGAAACTGGAAAGGGCTATTTCTGGGAAGGATACACCTACCTTCCCTGCCAAGCCAAATCAAGAGGAGGGCGTCAGGGCAAGAGTCGCCCCCCTGGGGGGATGCTGAGGGGTTCCCAGTTCTGGGTCCTCACATGGTACACACCCACACCTCTCCTGCCCGTAAGGCTTATCAGCGCTGCGGCCTTAAACACAGCGGGTAGGGCGTTCGCCTTACAAGCGGCCAACATGGCCGACCCGAGTTCGATTCCTCCGCCCCTCTCGGAGAGCCCGGTAAGCTACTGAGAGTACTCGATATGCCAGACACTTCACTTAATCACTTAACTTCCCGTTAGTCGTCGATTTGCTCGAGCGGGCGCCAGTAACGTCTCCATTTGTCCCTGTCGCGTGCTAGTGTAGCCCAATGGCATCTCTTCGCTCCGGGAACATGGAGGGCCTCAAACCGATCGTTCATGACCTTGACAAAGAAGTCTGACCATCTGGTAGGTGGGCGGCCACGCGGTCTCTTGACATCCCGTGGAATCCAATCAGTAACAGCTCTAGTCCAACGGTCGTCTTTAAATCTCATTACGTGACCAGCCCATCTGATTTTCGACACCTTGGCAAATGAGACAGTGTCCCTGATCCTTGATCGTCGACGGATGTCAGAACTCCGGATTCGTTCTCTCATTTGAGTGAAACGTGATATTCCAAGCATAGCTCTTTCTATTCTTCTTTGGGAGACCTGAATGGCGTTCTCATCTTGTTTGCGTAGGGCCCAGGTCTCTGAGGCATATGTTAATGCAGGAAGAACAGTGGAATCAAAGAGATGTGCCCGGAGCCGGAGGTTCTTCGTCCTCTTAGCTATTTCTTCGACGTTCTTGAAGGCGTTCCAAGCCGCTCTCTTCCTCCTGCGCAGCTCGGGTGCCAGGTCATTTGTCATGTTGACCTCTCGACCTAGGTACACATAGCTGTTGCATTCGGAGATGGTCGTTCCATTGAGAGCGAATGGGGCGTCAGGAACAAGGCTATTTCTCATAAACATTGTCTTCGTAAGATTCAGCTGTAGTCCTACCTTTCCACACTCACGGTCAAAGTCGGCCAGCATTTGTGCCGCTTGGCTGATGTTTGGTGTTATTAAAACAATGTCATCAGCAAAGCGGAGGTGGTGTAGTTGCCGACCATCTATCTTCACTCCCATTCCTTCCCATTCCAGTCGTCGCATGATGTTCTCGAGGGTGGCACTGAAGAGTTTTGGTGAAATGGTATCACCCTGCCGCACCCCTCTCTTGACATCAACGATCACTTCTTTGTAGAATGGTGAGATCCTGGTAGTGAATCCGCAATACAGCTCACGGAGGATCCTGATGTATTGGGCTTGTATGCCCTGATTGGCTAGGGCTTCAATGACCGCTTCCGTCTCAACAGAATCAAAGGCCTTCTTTAAATCAATGAACGTTAAGCAGAGCGGCATCTTGAACTCCCGAGAAACCTCAATGAGTTTGGTTATCGTGTGGATATGGTCGATGGTGCTGAATCCTTTGCGGAACCCTGCTTGCTCACATGGTTGTCCTTCATCTAGTGTTCTGCCAATCCTATTCAGGATGACTCGAGTGAACAACTTGTAGATGACAGACAATAGGCAGATCGGGCGATAGTTGCCAATGTCATGGATGTCTCCCTTCTTGAACAGTAGTACGGTCCTGCTGGTTTTCCATTGAGATGGAACCTTGCATTCAGACAGGTAGCGAGTGAAGAGCCGAGCCAGTGTATTGATGAGTACTGACGGCAGGTTCTTCAGGTGTTCAGGTCTGACCTTGTCTGGGCCGGGTGCTGTTTGCTTCTTTACTGACGAAATGGCGTGTCGGATTTCGGAAGGGAGAACGTTGGGAACGACATACCCATCCTGTGGAATTTGGTATGTCGGCAAGTGGACATGGCTATCGAAGAGACAGACACAGTAACAACAAAGTCTCCAATGAGACCCGCGGTTCTAACAAGATCAGGGCCATGAGGACTCCTTGTCCACAAGTTCTTTGGTTATCCTGGGAGTGACCTGTGTCCAGCACAGGACAAGAAAAGGGCAGGTGTGTGTAGGTTAGGCAGGACCCTCAGATCCTACAAAGGCGACTCCCCAAAGGTTAGACATACAGGACTTCAGGGGACACAATATTTTCAAATGGCGACTCTTTTATGGACAGTAAGAGTTTTAAGAAAGGAGAACAAGAATCCAGAGACGAGGTGTCTTTGATATGAGAAGGGAATGGGCTTGGTGGGTGACCACATGCCCTGTACATGTGTGAGGTCAAGGGTTTGACCTTTGCCAAATGCAAACTGATTTCAGAGACTGTATTCTTCTGCCCTGCATTTTTTGGGGGGGTATCAGGGTGGGGTCACAACTAATGCACTCAGGGATCACTCCTGGTAATGCTCGACGGCCCATAGGCAGTGCTGGGACTCAGCCAGAGCCAGCCTCATGCAAGTAAATAAAGCACCTTAATTCCTGCACTCTTTCTCTAATGCTGTGCACTGTTTTAGTACAAAAAATCTTTTAAAACATTTTGAGTAGGAGGAGTTACTACTACAACCTTATAAGAACAAGTGTTAATGTAACAAGTATTGACAAGCCTATGTCCTAATCAAGGAAGCTTAAAGCCTCCATTCTACGTGCATTAAACATTTATACTATTTAAAATCAGACCCGCTATGTCCCTCCCAACGAGCGGATCTGGGAGGCAGACACAGTGACACCTGTCATCATGAAGACATGGCGGAGGTTTCTGGAATTCTGAGGGGACCAACTCCCAACTGCTCCTGTTTCCAATCCATGGATGGGATGAGGGGAATAATTAAGCACAGTGCCCACCCTATTTTTGCTGCTGGGTGTTTCAGGCTTACCACTTCAAAACTGTTTTCAGTGTATAATTTTAAAAGACAGTGGCCACTTGGAAAAGTCTCAAATGAATCATGCTTTCCCAACTGACGCACAACTGCCCCAGGCCAGTGATTTTTGGGCTGTTAACATGGTTAAGTGGCCTGGCATTCCACCTCCCCAAAGGGTGCTTGGATTGGTAAAGCATTCATAACAATTGGCAAGTCCTGCATTCTAGCAATAAGAAGCCTTAAAAAATTGCCTTGCTGGTGGCCAGGATATAAGTCAGTGGCAGAGCATTTGTCTTGCACAAGGAAGGCTTCAGTTAGACCCCTGGCACTGTCTCCCTGATAAAAATGATTGCAGGGAGGCTCAGTTTTAGTTTGCTCTTTTTTCCCAAAATGTTAAAGATACGGTATACTATTTTAATTCAGTGTTTTTGCAAAGTTAGGTCTGCTAGCTATTATGATAGAGATATTTACAGTACTAAGAGGTCTTTTTATAAACTTAAACAGTCTTAAAATAATTTTTTTTAAATGAAAGACTACCTTCCTTTTTTGCTTAAAAAGGAAAAACATAATAGAAACAAATCAAATTGTTAAGACTTTGCCTTTTTTAAAAAAAGGCGCATTTCCACCAATAGAGGTCACTAGTATACCAAGTCCAGATGAAGAAATTGAGGGCCTGGCTAAATGTAAAATCAAAATCAAAATGCTAATGCAGAAAATGTTAAGTACATAATAATGCTACTCAACAAGCATTTGAAAGTCGATACAGACAATACTTCATTTTATACTTTTCATACACAACATCTTATTGTCTTATAGATAATATAATAATTTCTATGTAAATATAGAAATATTATCTGTGCAAGCCAAAGAGTAAAATAACCATGTATTAACATCCTAGCAAGCTTACTTTATAAGATATTCTTTTAAAAATGTATCATAAATATCAAAGCATCAAAAATCAAAATATACAACTAAAGGTCCTCCAAGGAAGTAAGATACTTTAGAACTGAGTTAGGCCACAGAGCCTAGTGGAATAATACTCCTGTGCTCACCAGGACACTTGCCCTTATTGTCACAGTTTCCAAAAGGAATTAATTGGTAGGAAAGTCATGTCAATTACACAGACAGCAATAGCACAGAGATTTAGAATGAAGTTGGGGAAGAGAAACAAAATTGAGCTCATCAACAGCCAGACTAAGAAGGGAAAAAAGATCAGCCGTTCAGTTCAGTTATTGTCAGACTCAGAAACTCTGAAAAGTCTGAGACAGACGCCTCACTTTATCTGCCTGGATCACACACCCCACACAAGCCGGCAGTAAAAGCCCAGATCAGGGGTTGGAAAGATACTACAAAAGTTAGGGCACTTGTCTTGCAGTTCAGGCAACCCTGATTCCATTCCCTGCAACCACATCTGGTCCCCTGAGCAGCAAGAGGGATGCCTGAGCACAGAGTCAAGAGTAAGGCCTGAGCACCATCGGGTGAGCATCCCAACCAAAACAAGCAAAAAAGTCCAACTCAGAAGCAGCATCTGAGTTCCCCACCTGTCCCGCTTACATGCCTCCCTTTCCCACCCTCTCCCCAGTAATTCTTAAAGACTTTTAATTTTCGGGAAGAGAGGGTGGTTTGGGCCACGGCCAGCTCTGCTGAGGAATCATTCCTCACAGTGCTCAGGGGACCGTATGAGGTACCTAGGATTGAACTGGAGTGGCAAGAGTACTTACTTGCTGTACTATCTCTCTGGCCCCCTAAATATTTTTTCATAGAAGTCATGGTCTTTTGTTGGATAAAATAATCTAGAAACAAGCTGTGAGTTAAATAGTCATTTAAATGAGTCAGTCACCATGGTCACGTGCTCCCTATTACTGGGGCTGGCTCCGGAAGGACAGGAAAGGTGGGAAGGGTGAGAAGGGCAGAAGAAAGGGGGGCAGAGGGCAGAGGGCAGAGGGCAGCTCTGCAGAGCGTGCAGGGTGAGTCGGCTGGAACAAATGATTGTGCACCAAGGACCTGAGTCTGCAGCTGCATAAGCTGGCAAAGTGCATTCTGCGATCTAACAGTAGGATTTCCATTTCCCTTTATTACTTTTGCTATTTCCAATAGTTTCTAGAATTTTTTTAAAATGATGAACATTTTGAAATATACACAACGGAGGATGGAAATAAAACTGTTGAACATCCGACTCCCAGATTCAAATGGTAAAAATAATTTATCACATTTGCTGGATCTACAACTAGATGTCCAAATACACTTACCTGTCTGACACAGATTGCATCTGGAAATATTTTATTATTTTTCTTTAAATGAACCATTTTAAATGTTGCCGACATCTTACCACTTTACAATACTTGAATAGGATGGCATGAATTTCCTAAAACTAAGAACACTCGCCCACAAATAATCCTATCTGGATAATTCTGAAGAAATGACACACCACCTGCTAGCATCCAATTCAATCCCAAATTGCCACTAGTCCCCCAGATAGGCTTTGCTGTCAGAGTTAGAGGTGAGCCCCTGCCCCCCGCCCTCCCCAAAGGGCTGGCAGGGCTTCTCACGGCCCTCTCTCGGAACTGGCCCTCCCCTCCCTTCAATTCCCTAACAAGATACCTTGAAGAGCCGAGGGCAGATACTTTTCAGGATGTTCCAGAAACCAGATTTCCACTGCAGGTATACTCAAAGAACTACAATCAAGGTGTTTGGTAACTGAGACCTAGGCTAATTGTTCACCACATGAAGTAATTCTGAGAGGCCAACTATGGTGGAAAAAAACTCCTGAATCTTTAACACCAAGTAATAACGTTCCATGTACATAACTATATGAAGCTTTATATGAAATATCACACATAAGAGATGTCATTTTTAAATTTAATTTTATTTTTTTGCTTACTGGGTCACACACAGCAATGCTCAGGAGTTACTCCTGGCTCTGCACTCAGGAATCACTCCTGGCAGTGCTTTGGGAACTATATGGGATGCCGGAGATTGAACCCGGATCAGCTGTGTGCAAGGCAAATGCTCTATCCACTAAACTATCGCCCCAGCCCCACAAGATGTAGTTTTGACAATCAGGAGTAAAATAATTTCACACAAGTCAATACTGTGATAAACACCATCGTTACACCCAAGAATCTCTGACACTTTACCCTGGTTGATTTAAATTACCTGGAATACTATCCTTACACTTATGCAAACACCTTTTTTTTGCTTAAGGTGAAAGAGAATGCGGGAGAACATTGGCAGTCGACTATCTGAGTGGTTTTCAAAATTCTTCAGAAAGCATGTGGAGCAGTAATATGAATATAGCCTCCATCATATAAATCCTTTCTGCTTCTGAATTACAAAGAAACATAGTAAAGTTATTTTTTAAAAAATAAATATATAAACTGCAGTGGAGCCCTGGTTTGGTACTACCATAGGGAGGTATATTAGTGTGTGTAAGTCTAAGTTTCCCTTTGGTATGAGCTAAATCTCTATAATAATTCCAGTCATAACCATCTCAGAAGCTTGTTCAGAAGTACATCAAGTTTTTTGCGAGCATCTAGTATGCAATGAAAATAATATCACTGAAATATGGTCCTTGTAGATCTAAAATGAGACAGTTCACAAAACAAACAAACAAACAAACAAAATCCATGCCTAGATGCCAACAGCACCATTCACTATGTAAAAAAGTTCTCCGTGAGATCAACTGTAGTGAATAAAACACAGAAATTCAATACTGAACAGTATATTCACAGATATAATTATTTGTGTGCAGGGCGGAGTGGAGCGGTATAAGTATGAGTCTTTAGCCTCACTGTCTTAAACAGTTCACGAGATAACTATGTAGCTGGCCCTATATGTTGGTCATTAAGATAGAGAACAAGTTATTTTACCTCATTAAAGTATCGGATGGCTTCTCTAGCTCCTCGTACTCCATGTGAAACACGCTGGAAAAAGAATCCTACAAAGAAAACACTTGGTGTGAGACAAGTTTAACACAGTAATGAGAACTGTCAAGATCTGATCTATGAGTGCAGTGACCTTAGACAGTGACGCTTCACACTTAGGCTCATCCAAGGACTGATGCTGTGATATGTCAAATCCACCTATCGCTAAGAGTCATGATCCTATGCATGCTTGTAAGTGTCTGCAAAAAACGCACATACTACAACTGTCTTTCACTAGCAAGGATTAATGGAGACTTAGAACTACTCTGTATTTATTCAAAATCCTTTAGTTTCAGGAGGTTTTGCTTTTCTTCTTTTTTTTTCTTTGGTGGATGGGGATAGATGGGTATGTGGAGTGTGTGTGAGTGTGTGTGTGTCTCCAGGAATCAAACCCTGAAACTCCTATGAGTAAGTCAAGTGCTCTACTGTTGGCTTCTTTCCTGGCCTTGCTGTTGCTAGCTCTTTGATGAAAGAATACTTGGATGAAAGACATAAAATTCACTACTATTTTATGAGATCATTAAAATAATTGTCAGAATTTCAGCAGCACAGAGAAGCACTTCTGAAGGAGCATGAAAAACCAGGACTCATACCCATGTGATATTTACAACTCAATATATAAATAGAAAGAAACAAATAAATAACATCAGCTTACTATGGGGTAGAAGGCCAAAATACTTTTTTTCTTTTGCTTGTTTTTGGGCCACCTAGCAGTGCTTGGGGCTTATTCCTGCCAGGACTTTAGGAGACCATATAGGGTGCAGGGAGATAACCCAAGTCAGCCGAGTGTAAGCACCCTGGCTGCTACGCTGTCTCTCCAGCCCTAGTACTTCCCCCCGCCCCTTACATATACTTAGATTTAAATGTCACTTAAGCATGTATAGTTTTTTTTTTTTTGAGCCATACCTGGTAGGACTCGAGATGGGAACTTAGGTCTCTCCATGCAAAGTCTGTGCCAAATCTTTGGCCTACCTCTTTGGCCACAATTGAAGTATTTTTAGACAATGAAAATTCTAACCTAAACAAGCTACTTAGCTCCTATACCAATATGGTAAGCTGTTTAAAATAAATGCACAAAACCTATTTTGTGATCAGGGGTATTTCTGGGCTAGCGGCTAGCTTTCAAAGCACCACCGGTCCAAACTGGCTGCCAACATGATGGAGGTTGGAGGGTAGACACACGAGCTGACTGTCAAGCGATGTGATATTTAAGCTACTGCAAATGGAGTGCCTTACACATGACTTCAGAAATTAAAATCTCAAAGAGCAGGTCAGAGAGCAAAAGTGATAAACTGACATAGTGCATTCATGAGTTCTGACCTCAACTTGAAAATTACTGCCGCTATCTCCTACTCATCTTCTTATCAAGTTACTTTCAAAGCTGATTGAAAAGATTCTAAGAACTGTTTTTTTTTTTTTACTTTTTGGGTCACACCTGGCGATGCACAGGGGTTACTCCTGGCTCTGCACTCAGGAATTACTCCTGGCCGTGCTCAGGGGACCATATGGGAAGATGGGAATCAAACCTGGGTCGGCCACGTGAAAGGCAAACACCCTACTATTTTTGAGAAAACCTATTACCATGCAGCAAAGTAAATTTGATATCTTAATAATGACAAAGCACAAAAATCCACATTGAATCAAACAGTACGATTATATGATACAGTATGACTTTCTTCTAATTTTATTTTGGGGCCACATCCAGCAGTGCTCTGGAGTTACTCCTGGCTCTGTGCTCAGGAATCACTCCTAGCCGTGCTTGGGGGACCATATGGGAGGCCAGAGATTGAATCTGGGTTAGCCGTGTGCAAGGCAAGTGCCTTACCCGCTGTACTATCGTTCTGGCCCCATCTTCAAATTTTAATGCCAGCATTAAGTATCGTTTATTACTCTACTCCCCAGAAGACATTAATTCCAACCTCAGATATATGGGTTGTACCTGACCTCACCCAAGTGCTAACCCAACTCTCTTTCCTAACCTACCCATGAAGGGCCTATTCTCGGGGTTTAGAGCAAAAAGGAAACCAACAAGTACATCAAAAAGAAATGTCCCAGAAGCAGTGGTTCGGAGGTTGAGCAGGAAAGGAACCACATGAAAGGCAAGCGCCTTCCAGCCAGAGCCCTAATTCTAACAGCAAACTGCGCGGGCTGGTGCAGAGGGCGTCGGCCCCGCATGCGCAGCCAACCTTCTCTGTACATCCCTGCCTCTTCACGTTACAAACCAGGGGCCCAACCCGTCTTAGAATACTTCGGTGGCTTTCCACTGCTGGCAAAGCATTTGGGACTCAGAGGCACCTTTAATAACATCCATTTAGTGGGCCAGGTCTTTGGGTATCTAAATACTTCCAGGTTAAAAAAAATTGGGGGATGGGAGTGGAAGAGAAGGCCAGAGATGGGGTTCAAAGAGCAGAGCATGTGCAAGCACTGGGCATGGTCCCTGGCACCAAATGACAGCAGCTCTGCCCAAGCACTTCCAGTCCAGCTCTGTCGTTTCCTCAGCTCCACTGAGCCCAGGTACTACCAGATGCTCCAGCTCCAATTTTGGGGTGTATTTAGGGGTCACAGTGGTGCTCAGGGCTAGTCCTGACTCCGGGCTCAAGCCTTGGCTGCATTTGGGGACTCAATGTGGTGCCGGGGATCAAACCAGGGGCGGCAGGATGAAAGGCAAGTGACTTCACTTCTGTACTATGTCTCCAGCCCTGCCTCCACCCCCAATTTTCTCCTACTAAACTCACCAGGAAGAGCTTTACTTGCTCACTGCAAAGAGGGCACTGCATTCCTGGCCACAAAAAATCAGCAGAGAGAATGCGGTCATTCCCCTGTCATCCTCACACAGTGTGTGTGTGTGGGGGAGGGAGGGGAAGGAAAGGGGGGGACAGGGGGCACTGCTTTCAGGAATTTCTATTTCTTTCTAAAAATAAAGCCATGCTCTGTACTCACGGAGCAATCTTCATCCACTATGAAAATGGTGCACTTCTGCACCTGCATGAAAGAGATAATAGTGGCAGCTATTTTCTTTAGAATTACTTCCAATGACTGTTGTTCTTCAAAGATTAAGCTAGCAAGGTCGAGCAGCACCTAGACCCCCAAAAAAGAAAAAAAAAGAAAAAAAATTAAGAGCATTTAAATTAGCAATTGCTTGGAACTATTAAAGAGATAGAGTGATACATGAGTTGTTTTTTAAAAGAGAAATGGTCGAACCCATTATTAAATATGTACATCTCTAATTACTAGCAGAACTTCCCCATTGCTAGAATGACTCTGGGGGTAACAGTCATGGATGGGGTGTCTGCATCTGAACTTTTTTCTCCTGACTTTTCTCCAGTGAGCTTCGTATGCTGGGCAAGTATCTTAAAAATTGAAACCCAAGCATAAAAATCTGTAAGTCTACAACTGTACCTCATGGTGTCTCACTAATAAAATTTTTTTTTAAAAAGGGGAATAACTAGAGTAGCAATAGCAGCAGTTGTGAGGACTAACGCAGTAAAAGTTTTAAGACATTTTTAAAGGAATTCAGTCAAGAAAACAGCTATTGCTACAAACTTTAGTGATTAACATTTATCAACAGTTATCAACATTTTCACAGAGTGCAGGAGATACCGTCCAAAGTAAATAAAGCGCTAAGCATTCCTTTTATGTTCTTTCCGATAATTTCTCTTTTCTCTGAATTCCAAAGAATTTCTTCTCAACACACACACACACACACACACACACACACACACACACACACACACACACATTCTCTTGAGCTTGGTCAAGTTTTTTGCTTGAAAGAGGTTAAGTGACGATTTCCAAGAAAAGAATTGAAAAAAAGTCAAAAGAGCTCCTAAATCATGGAGTGTTTCAGGGGGAAAATCACCAACATGAGGTGATTTTCTGCTAGGAAAAGAAGTTCTTGGCAAAAACAGTACAGAATTCAAAAACAACGAGAAAAAAAGTATGTAACAGGGAGTATGGAGATTATTACCGAGCACGGTACTTACAAACACTTAATTTCGTCTTTTGTTTTGGGGACTTTATACTTGGCAGGGGTCACTCCCAGAGATGCTCAGGGGACCAGGTGGTGCCAGGGACAGAAGTAGAAGAACACCTTCTGCACGCAAAGCATGCGCTCCACCCACCAAGCTAGCTCTGTTCCAAATACTTCATTTCATAGGGCAACTTTAGAGTCAACCTATAAAAAGCTTAAGAAAAGTTCATCCCAGTGGTAGAAGGAAAACAGAAAGGGGGAGGTGGAGAGGGAGATGGGAACTTAGGGTAAAAGCAGCACAAAAAAAAGGGGAGGATAAGAAATCCTCATCTGTCAAATGCAGGAAGAGAGGCTGGCCAGGAAAGAAGGTAAGTATCAGAAGAAACAGCCAACACATTTACAAACTGGATCTCCACCATTTGTATCTTGAATCATTTGCATATATTGCTTGAATAAAAATGCAACGATGCCAATCAGAAGCCTCTCGTAGTGGCTTACTCCTCACTGCACTTGCCTGATTTCTCCTGTTCTCCAGCAATGACGTCTCGTAGAGCTGAGCGTTATGAAGAACAATACCACAAAAGGCCAAGTAAGCAGCAAAGTCCTGGAAAACAGGTACGCACACAGCTAAATAAGGGTTGTTGAGAAAACAGGCCTGTTATGTTTGCTCAGTTGGAGACAGTGTTTCAAACCAAGAATGAGAGCCCAACAGTTAGAAAGCCAGAGGTGCCATGGTAATTCTGTATAAAACCAAATAGCTGTGCAAATATGGGCCCACCTATTATTGTTGTTGTTGTTGTTTTGTAGTACCAGGTGTCAAATCAGGGCCTCCCAGACACCAGGCAAAAGTTCTAGAGCTCAGCTGCATCCTGGCCCTTCAAAGCTGAGCTTCTAAATATGGCTCTATCATCCACATTATATCCTATCACAGTAAAATGCGCACGGTGGCTAAAATAGGTGCTTTTATGGTGTACTTTATTCATAGGGATGGTTATGCTCTGCCACTAGAATTTTCACTCTGTGAAGAAAACAAATCTCTCTAGTGGCATTTACATTAATGGGCTGGAAACAATGATTATAAACAAATAAAAATTAGAAAGTCAACCGAGAGGCTAAACAAATAAATAAATAAAAAATTCTCATGTATCACTGGCAAGAACCGAGATGGTTTATTCTACCATCTTTGCAAGGACCTCACTATGTTCTCAAGCAACTGAAACAGGGAACCTGCAAGGTTTGTATCCAGGCTACGGAAGAAAGGCCCAAATAACTGTGATTTGAACATCCACCAACTGCAAATTGCAAATGGGAAGGCTCCTGCAGGCGCTCAGGGGAATGATGTGAACAGAGGTTCCACCGGGCAGGGAGTAAAAGCCACCGACAGAAGAGGTTAGATGGGGCGCACAGGTTTCCTTCCACCCACAGAGGACGGGTGTGTGTGGAAAGCCTTCTTTCAGCGTGGGATCGCGGAGCCATAAAATACTGCAGACTCGCCGTCTTTCCTGAGCCCAAGTCACAGCATCACCCAGCCTGAAATCACACCTTGGCGCCCTGGAGTCTGCACACGAAGCTCGTAAAATATCCTGACCCAGGCTGGCACGCCCAGAGTGGGGGGAAGGGGACGTTGACCCGACGGGCTCAACTGGGCGCCAGAGTGGGTGCCCCATTCAAGGTGGCACTTCTGGACAGCTGTGTGGAAAGACAAATGAAGCACCCATGAGAAGGTCTGCTGAGGGTGGAAGGGAGGATTCCACGGACCTGGTCATTGCCAATTTTCCCAGGTTAGCACTCATGGGAATTCTGGCTACTTCTCAGCATTTCCAATCATGTGAAATCAACTGTGTTTTTCTAGATCCACAATACCAGCACCTTTCATCCCAGAGGTCTCTTCCCTAAATTTAATAAACACACAACCAGAGAGTATCTTCCTGTACTGCCATCACACCAGTCACATTTTCTTACCTTTTCATCTTTTTCGGTGAAAGTCCCACCATTGCCTGATTTCTTGTTGATGGCCTGAGCTACACCAACAACCTGCAATCAGGAAGAAGAGTGATCACTTCATTGATGGAAATTATTAGTACAAATGCACCCAAATGTAGTCACAGAAGAATTTTTATATGTGCTTTAAATCAACAACTCAGCTCCAAGACCTTTCAGCCCTTGATCTAATTCTGTATAATTTATTAGCCCCCCCTTTTTTCTTAATAAAAGTTTAACTGTTTTTAATGTCTTGGGTCCTTTTTTTTTTTTTAAATGTAGGAGTACTGCTATTTATTCAGCCACTGATTAGCTGATTGAATTGGGCATGAACTCTACCTTACTTTTTTAAATTATTTATAATTTTATTTGTTGAATCACCGTGAGAGTGGTTACAAAGCTTTTGGATTTAAGTTTCGGTCATACAATGAAACATCCATACCATCACCAGTGCCCATTCTCCACATCCCCAAACCCCAGTATACTCCCATCCCACACACTCCCCCAACTGTGGGGCAGATGATTTCCACATTACTCTGTCTCTACTTTGATTACATTCAATATTTTGACACAAGACCCACCATTATTATTTGGGATTTTACCCCAACACTCAGATATACTGAAAAGGCAACAGTAGACAATTGGTTTTCTATTGCTGGTTATGATAACATCATGATGTCACATGGCTACAGAAGTGGCCACGTGATTTTGAAATTCTGAAATTTTAACAATTAAATCTGGAGGGATTTCTGCCAAAACCTTCTGGGTTCTGAGATTTGTTCCTGAGTCTTTTGGATAATGGCCATTAAGCAGCTTGATCAGGAGCCAGAAAGGCCATTTGTGGGAGGCGACTCGGGGTCTTGTGGGGAAGAGGAGGAATGGGCTAGCTCCACCCCCACGCCGTGAGGACCCCATGTATCTTGTCACTGTGGGCCCAAACCTGAATGTCCAGAGGCCTCTGGAGGATGGTGGCCAGCAGGCTGCCAGGGGGAACAGGCCAAGGCACGAAACCTATTCTCACCTGGGGTGGCCCAGCGCCTATAACCTACTGCAGGTACTGGATGCATATCTGCCAAAAGCTGCTGGGTTTTGAGATTTGTTTCTGAGTCCCTGGGATCACGGCCGTTAAGCAGTTCGATCAGGAACCAGAGAGGCCATGCTTCCAATTATATAGCTGAGCCGGAGGTCATTCATGGGTGTGTCTCCCACACACCTACCTAACTTTTGGCCGTTTACTTTCTTGGTAAACTTTGCCCCAAGTTTTTGGGGTCTGGCCAAAGGCACAGCAGCAATTTTGGGGTATCTTGAAGTCTGAAGGTACCATCAGGCTGCTGATGCACTCGCCTCACAAGTACAGACTGACCTGCTCGTGGCACCAAACCCCAATTGCATTCTTTATAGTACTCGATTCTATTTCAATCTGGTCAGAGAAATGATTGGTATCCACATTTTATGTATATTATATTGCTTTTGAGTAAGAAATTACTTAAGTCCTACCACATTTTAGAGAAAAGGAATATTCCATATTGATTTTTAAATATGTTTAGCCACTCAAGCAGTTAATTTATTGGTTAGATACATTTATATTGGTAAGTTTAACTATATTATTAGTTATTAATTAAAAACAGACAAAACAGAACAGAACCTCTGGCTAATCATGAAGCAGAATGATTGCTCAGATGTCAGAGCATGTGTGGGGAGCCCTAACTTTGATTCCCACTACTGCATGTCCACCTGGCCAGTTCCCCATGGTCATGACCTGGGGGCCGCCTGACCACTGTGGGGTCTCTATATTAAGCCCTAGTTCAGCTGGTTACAGGGGAGAAGAAGAAGGAGGAGGAGAAAGAGGAGGAGGAGGAGGAGGAGGAGGAGGAGGAGAAAGAGAAGGAGAAGGAGGAGGGAGAGGAGGAGGGAGAAGATGAAGGAGAAGGAAGTGGAGGAAAAGAAGGAGGAGAAAGAAGTGGAGGAGGAGAAGGAGGAGGAAAAGAACAAGGAGGAGAGGAGGCAAAGGAGGAGGAAAAGAACGAGGAGGAGAGGAGGCGAAGGAGGAAGGAAGAGGAGGGAGGAGGAGGGGGAGGAGGAGTAAAAGAAGGAGGGGGAGGAGGAGCAGGAGGTACCATGAGGGTGAAGATGAGTCCTAATATGGAAATGCAGCTCAACTCCTATTGAAACTTCTCTCCATGAAAACTATTCTACCTTCAACAGACAAACAGATATTGGGATGGGGGGGGGGGGCTCTGAAAAGTCAAAACAGGGATTAAAGGCTGGGTTTTATTTCAAATAGATCAGGAGGAGTCTGAAAAATGAAATCTTGACAAGACTGAGTTAACAAGTCCTGCAAATGCACCATAAGTTTCCATGAAAGATGCAGCAAGGCTTTTTACGAGCCCTCTGGTGTCTTGGCTTGACGGGGCCTTCACTTCCTGGGTTCCAGCTGCAGTATGAGTTATCACCCTCCTCTCAGAAAGACCTTCATGCTCTCTCGCTGGGCTCCGCATAAATTCTCCTCTTTCCTTCCTTCTGCAATGGGATCGCCTCAGAATAAGCTCATTATCCCTAAATGGTCACAGCCTAGGAATAAAGTCCTGAGCGATGAGTTGTCGGTTCCTGATATCCTCAGCTCACTCTAGCCCCACAGTCTGAATATTCTAGAGCTGGAGAGAACTCAACAGATTGGAGGCATTCTTACATGCGGGAGGCCCAGGGTTCAGCCCAGGTATGGCATAGCCCCCCACCCACCCCCACCCCAGTGCCACTCTTCTTTTGCCGGGGGTGGGCACCCAGAGATACTGAGGGTCTGCTTCTATGCTCCGTGGTCCCCGGGAATCACTCCTGGTGGTGCCTTGGGAATGGTGCAGTGTCACAGGTTGGAGAATGAACCAAAACTTTCTCTCCTTCCTTGGTCTGTTCATTGCCTCCTGCAGCTCACCACTACCACTCCACTCAGCCATAGGGGGTGAGCTCAGAGCAGAGAGGCACAAACCCCACATTCCACCCCACATGCCAGCCCCTGGGACCCCCCGGCCACACTTCAGCATCACAGTCCACACTATCTGTTTGCCAGGCACAAACAAAGATGCGTGTCTGGTTTATATTTTACCAATCTCACAGCACGTGCTGGTTCTGCCTCTCCGGGCCAAGTGCTCCCACAGAGAAATGCAGAGGACAAGACCCTCATCGTGCTGAGCCGAGCGAGCTGCCTGGAACATGGCTGCTGCTAGCTCCAAGAGTCACATTTTCTTCTCTCAGGAGGTTCTTCTTCCCTTCCTAGGGTTGCATATCCACTCCCAACCCCACTTCAAACCCCACGGGATGTGCAGCACAGATCAGACGTGGATGGTCTGTAATGGGAACCCAGCTTCTCAGGGTCACTGGGAGAACAGGAAGCTTCCCACTGGTGGGAGGAGCTGGGGAAGGATTCTCTCCCCAGGGCCCTTCTCAAACTTTCCTCAGACTCCATGGTAACCCACTCCACGCCATGTGATTCCTAAGCAATGAGTGCCTGGTAAGTGCCTTTCAATACAGAAGACAGGAGAAAGACACAGCTGTGTAGATGCATGCTCCTTCCCCATGTCCCATATCCCAAGCGTTAGAGTTGGAAGGATCGCTAGAAGCAACAGCCTCCTCCAAGGCCACCTGTGGACCAGCCTTCAACTCTGGCTGATGTGCCCTCTTCCAAACCCCGGGCAACCATTAAATTAGAGTCATGGATCCCAAAGATGTTCTCATCCGAGGCCCTGGATGGGACCACGATGCTCCTTCAATAACAAAGGGAACTGGGCAGATGTGATGAAAGAGGTAGAAATGGGAAGAGGAACAGGGCGGTCCCCTGGCTAGGCCAATGTCAAACCTGTCAGAGTGGAGACTCAGAGATGCTCTGCTCCATCTCAAGAGGAAGGGGCCATAAGCCAAGGAGCGTGGGCAGCCTGTGGACACTAGCCAAGGCCACAAAACTGGTGCTTCCCCCCAAAGCATACGCAGGAGCACAGTCTCGCTGAGACCTGACAAGAACTATTTGGAATTTTGACCTCCCCAACTAAAAGATACAGCAAATTTTTACATCAATATCACAAACTTGGGGCTGGAGTGATATACAATGGGAAGAGCGCTTGCCTTGCCCATAGCTGACCCATGTTCAATCCCTGGAACCTCCATATGTTCCCTGGAACCCTGTTAGGAGCGATCCCTGAGCACAGAAACAGGAGTAAGCCCTGAGCACTGCTGGATATGGCCCACACAACAACAACAACAACAACAACACACACACATCATCAACTTTATCACATTGCCACATCAAATATAATAATAAAAGTTAAAGAAAACTAGCAAATAATACACTGGTACTGTTGGAAGTCACTTAAATTTCTATCATATTTTTAAACAGCAATTAACCTTTTCCATCAGAATTATTATCACTTTCTTCAACTCCTATTTACTCAGGTTCTTCCCCTCCCTACAGCCTTGGTTTTACCCTCTAAGTTGGCGCTTCCCTTGCATGCCCTGCCCTCTATTTGCCAAAGGCTTTCTTCCTTCAGTCCCCTCCTAGACACAAGCCATTATTGATCTGGACACAGCCTCATGTACACAAATGGTCTCATAATTCAAGAATCTTTAATGGTTTTCTGCACCTGTAGGCAGAGAGCTAAAGATGGTCTTAATGGCCAACTTTCATTCAGGCCATGTCAGTGCCTCCTTGAATTAGGAGGCTACGGTCATCCATCTTCAGGTCACTCCTTGAAATATTACCTCCCATCCTCTCCCCTGAGACCACATCCCTGACCTGCGGGCTGGTCCCCAGAGCTCCTGGTATGAAAGTCTGACCCCAGGTTCATCGGTGGTTTCAATCTGCCTGCTTTACACCTGGGAACAAGTATGGGGGAAGTATTCTTCTCACCGTGGGCTGAAAGCCTTTCCCCTGCTTTGGAAAACACTTCCCAGAGTTGTCTGCATGGCAAATGGGATGGCCTCACAGCTGACAGTGAAATATTCCCGTTCTCAACCTCCTCTTCTCCATTCACAGCCCGGCTCTCAGGCGAGACGGTTTTTGCAAGGGC